CGATATTTTTAAGTATTCTTTTTTCTTCATTCATAAAATGTATAAATAACGCATTAACCGTAGTACGCACGATTTGTAATGTGACAACTCGTAAAAGGTTTTCAATTAACTTCAAAGTTTCAAAGGTTTCTTGCCAGGAAGTTGTAGGTGGTTATACTGGAAAATACAGTTCTCGAAAAAGTATATAAACCAGAGAAATAAACCTTGTCGACACTTCACTTGCTTTGCATTCATTGCAGCTGATAAGAATAAGAAAGAATTTAGAGGTTTTGTATTTTTCATATTTCTTCATGTTTATAAAGTATGATTTGTAATATTTTTGCTGAATCGCCTGTTATAGGTAGAATATTTACTGTATTTTATGTAAATTCAATATCTGTTTCCTTAATTCCCTTGATTTCATGTAAACGTACATAATTTTACAAGATGCTTATGCTTTTATTTCTGTAAAATTTCAGCAGAATTCGTATTTAATATGACTTCTGAAAATAACTATTTCATATATGAATTTGATATAATTATGAAACCAGTTTATGATGCTAACCAAATTTTCTTTAAAAATGTATGTTCTTTTCCCCTTTCAAGTTGGAGTCTGAGATAGAATATATATATATATATATATATATATATATATATGTAATTTGACTGAAACGTTTTGGGACTAATTCTGTTATTCAGAATCGGATAACTTTATGGGTACTGTATTTTTTATTTCATTTCGAGCTTGAGTCCTTCACACTGAATGACACATTTCACATCGTTTTATAAACGCAAAACAGGCATTTTTGTGACATCTTCTTTATGCTAACGTGGTGTTTACCGCTTCCTCATTTGAAGATAATTTCTGACGGCGTAATTGCCTTTTCAAAACTGAGATCGCCTCCAAAATCCCATATCGCTAAAACTAGACTATATGCAGGGTATTCTAGTGTTGTCAAATTAGTGTGCAGGTTTAGTTTACTTGATTATGGCAAAACACTCCAGGGCTACGTGCCTAAGGGTAGGGATGCCTTCGTGCAGTAATTTCTAAGGGAAACTGGCTCGTCTACACGTTACATGTTAGGAAAACCGCGAAAACACCCATGCAGTCAGCCCGTTCGCGAGATTCGAAACTCAGACCGAACTAGCAGTGTTCAGCGACTTCACCGCTCAGCCGCTTGTGAAAGATCACTGTGCAGAATTCATACCCTTCTAAGATGAGAGGCTGTATACAACATTAGACACTTTATTTTGGAGTAGGAGACATTAAAAATGTGCAATAGCCTCCCCGAAATTCGAATTCTAGTCGTCAGCTGGATGGGATTTCCAATTACACCCTGTGAGCAGACAGAAAACAAACACCTCATAAGGTGACCAATAACATACATACCGGCAAAAATAAGTCCATTGCTAGATATTCCAGTCCTTTCACTATATGAGGTAGGACCCAAGTTTCTCATAACACAGATTATTTTCAGGAAATCCTGTTTAATTCCCAGCGTCCTATACATTTTCAGATACCCTAACAATTTAGTAACTTTATAAGGTTTTTATGTTAACTCATAAAGTGTTTCTTCCGCCTTCCTAGCATGCCTTCATAGTGTAGTGGTCTGCACGCTGGGCGCGTATTCCAGAGCTCCGTGGTTCGATTCCCGGCCACGGAGGTTTGCTCCTTTTTTTCATCTTTCCTGCTTACAAAAAAATCCTAATGTCTTTACAGTGGCGCCAGAACTAAAAGGGTGTTGGATGATGATTCTCCTCAACCAGAATTTGGCGATTGGGTCCCCTAAAAATCCCAGTCGCCCTTTAAAAGGGGGAGTATATAAGGTATTTCTCCTGCCTTCTTGGTGTTAGGAACACTCCACGAAGGCATGCCATTTTTAGAAACACTGCACGCTGGGCGCGTATTCCAGAAGTCCGTGGTTCGATTCCCGGCGAAGGAGCTGCATATTTTTCATCTTTCCTGCTTCTCAAAAAATCCTAATATCTCTACAAAACTCAGTTATTTTCTTAGTTTGCTTTTACTTTCATCAACTCTCACCAGAATGCGAATTAGTTAAAGTAGCTAAGAGTTCTTGAGTTTGAGAGAGAGCTTTTGGCAATCCATGCTGACTGCTGTTGTTCCCTTCAGCCTAAATTGGACTGATCGGTTTTGCGCAGCCGCTTCTGCTACGCGAATAAAACCCAGCCAAGGCTTAGTTAGGCGCGTGCTGATTTGTATTTCACATTAAAATTTGACTTAGACGTTCATTGTGAAATTCTATTTTTTCAAGTGTGTGAAATCAACCACTAAGTGGACTGATTAATAAATAGGTTTATTTTAAACCTTCACTTTGTGTTTGAGTGCTCTATAGTTAGAAAGCGGATGGAGCGATAAGTGGCCTGACTCTCTTTACTGTTCTAGCAAATTGGCATTTTAAGGTGTTGTAGAAATGTAATTTTTCATATCCTGAGAATGTCTTGTTTAAGTTGTTAAATCCCAGTCCCTGAACACGCGAAGATATTTTGAAGATGTTGATTCTCACATATTGAGAACTTCGTCATTTGGCATTCTCAGGATATTCAACTGCATTTCTTAGACTTCCGTCGTCAAGCATTCTCACAATATATTATATTCTGTATTTTTCTATGATTTAGGCTCTTCGAATTAGCTCGAACATGATCTGGGGGTGTACTGAGATGCAACATTAGCATTAGGATGCGTTAGTGTTATTCCGGGATGACCTGAGAATTTGGTAAGCAGGAGTTTGAATCCTCACGACATCCTGGACGTTATCGGAGGAACTTAATGCTGATGTGCTAGGTCTAGTGAGATATGACTAAGGAGGATGAGATTGGAGAATTAGGGACATACCAGCATGTTTTGAGGGTACCATGATCAACACCTACAGAATATCCTGAGAAATTTTTTGTGTTATGTGGGGTCTCACAAGTTGTGAGACACTCCTCAGCAAGAACAAGACACCATTACTCACCTTTGAAGTACACTGCTGCCCCCACCAAAAAAATGAGAGAATTATATATCTCCCATTCTACTGGGCCGATTGACGAAATTCAAATTGCATTTTTCATGTCTCGAAAACGCGATGTAGTCTATGTATTAAATTTATGTATAGCAATGTTCTAATATAGGTATTTTGACATAAAATCGGACCTTTTCTGAAATAACATACCATTTTTTTCCATATTTCGATTCTACAGTTCAAATTATGCCTACATTAAAAATTTTGTAAAATCTGGCGCGAAATTTACGGAGAAACACAAATATTTATCTTGGCGCCTTTTTTTCAGTTTGCGCCAAGAATAATTCACTTGGCGAACTTCTTAATATATAGCAACCTATTTTCCTTTGTAAACGAGCAGGAAAAAAGTCACAGCTCATTATTTCAAATAATTTTAACAAACTGCGTAAACCACATTTGGCGTTATTATCGCTTGTAACAAATATGACAAATTTTAAAACGCGGTAATACGTAAATTCACGTATATCCTAGGAAATTTTGAATAAAAATACTAATTCTTTGCAGGTATGTTTAGAAATACATCTACTTTAAGATGGTAAAATTTTTATATGTTATAATTCAAAATATTTTTCGAAAAATTTATAAAAATTATTTAAAAATTCAAATTTAAAAAATAAATCAGAAAAAAATGGGCGAATTTTATTTGGAATGAACCTAAATTTCGAATTCTGGAAGAAGGAATCAAGTAAGTTTAATAAAAAAGAGATAGTAACAAATATATATCAAATTCAATTAACATTGAGGAGCTAAAACTTTGACAGCTAATTTTTTAAAAACTACTCGAGCGGTTTTACAGAACTTGGCGTAATTAGAATCGTAGGATTGAAATATGGAAAAAAATTGGCAGGTCGTTTCAGAAAAAGTCCGATTTTGTGTCAAAATACCTATATTAGAACAATGCTATATATAAATCTAATACATATCCTAAGTCGCGCTTTTCAGACATCAAAAATGCAAGCTGAATTTCGTCAATCAGCCCACTAGAACGGGAGATATTGAACTGTCTCTTTTTTTTTTTGCTCAGTGTACATGGCCTTTATACGTACCTTATATAAATCGCGTTCGTTATTTTCGCAACTGGTGAGATATGTATGCTTTTCTAGTGCTGTGTTAATGATTTAAAGTTTTTTTGGTACTTTTCCGTTTTGCCGGCGCAAGTGATAAGGTCGCCAATAATGGTATAACCGATGCCAAACGGAATATTCTCGCTGCTAACCTTTTACGCCTCATTTTCAAAACAAGTCGCAGCCTTTTTCTTATCATATTGACTGTTTTTTTCAATACTGGCATATACAATTACATATAATTTTTACCCAGATAGTATCAATTTTATACGCTTAATGCCATTTTCGGTAATTAAGTCAATTAGGAATGCAATCACAGCTCTTACTCATCTGAAGGCCGAAAATATAGAAAAGGAAAGTCAAGGGTTAAATTCATCCATTCTAATGAGAATGCATTAGGGAAGTAAGGCATTGCAGTTTTACATAATTTCTGAGTAAGCTATTCGTACACATTGAAATATTTCTTGCATTTAAACTTGTGTTCCAAATTAAGATTTAACTTGAAATTAATGTAGATAGTTACTGAGAGCATTAGATTTTTGTACGTGAGATTTTGTACGTAGTTTACGTGAGATGAGATCGCTTGGGGTCACGTGATATGAACCGGAGAATTAGGATGTTGAACCATGAAAGCATAGTAAATTCTTAAATTAATGTCTTTTTACAAATTTATTGTCTTTATTTATTGGCTTTTTATAAAGTTTTAAGCGATATTAAAATGTTTATGCCTTCAAAATAAAAAATTCTTAGAACTAACATTTTTTAAATATTTTTTATGTGTATACTGTATGTTGTCGCCAATAAAGTCTGCTTGGCGAGATTTGCGCCGCCGAAACGGAAAAGTACCGTTTTTTTTTTTTTTTTTTTTCCTCCTTTTTAATTTCTAGTTACTTTTAAATGAAATTAATGTAACTATACTTTCCTTAATTTTTAGATCAAGATGTCTGAAATGGGAATTTTTATCCTTTGGAATTTGCTAGTTCTCTCTGCTGTTCATGCCACCATGCCTTCTTTGTTTCAGGGTATTATCGGTGGTACAGAAGACAAAGGGCGTGAAATTTTGGGGCATGTCTAAAGTAAGTTCAAAAGCTTCATTGTTTCTTGATAAAATTTCATTGTTCCCAACAAACTTTTGCTTATATTAATTTAATTAATAGGCCACGGCTTTTTTAATGGTTATTAGTTTGGATAACATTTAAAACTACTCGTGTACGTTCCCGTAACAATTAAATAAATATATAACATTAGGGAATACACAGTATTGTAAAACTGAACCGCAGTACTTATTTGGAAGCGAAAGCCTTTTTCTTTTCTTTCTATTTTTTAATCAGAAAATTTCTTTTCAGTTGGTTCTTGGAATACATTGACAGAGGCCCAGTAAGAAATAAGATATTAAACAAGTTGCTTGTAATTCCATAATATCTATACAAAATTGAATAATAACTATTAATTAATCTTACTCAACATAAGTAACCTGTTGATTTACTACATTTTCAAAATTAAATTTCTAACTTTTTTCAGTCTCATTTTCTATTTCAGACAAACTCCTACTACATTTATAATACTCCTACCCAGTAACTATTGAATTTTATAATAGGAAATTACAAATTTTCTTTAGATCAGCTACTCATGTTACCTGCATTAGCATCAATGGAAGTTGTGACGGTCATGACAATCTGTGCACAAGGTGTCCCAGAAAAAAGGCATTGTTACATGAGGTATTCGTGCTGTTAGAAGTAACAAAATGTCTTTCAAATGATTTTGGTACACCATTTTATATTTCCCAAACTGTTTTGTTCGGGAGAAACGCGACTTAAAATCCTATGTGCCTAATCGGCTGACCGAATCAAGACGCACCCATAACTTATTCTTGGTATTTGTGCATCACTAGACGTAAAACCTATCAATTTCCTCCTCGGAACGCTTTGAAACAATCTGTATACCAGAAGTACTTTATCGCTAAGAATTCATTGCGCGCATTTCAATTAGCTGTTGACTACATTCATAAGATGCTTGACGTCATGACGCCAAGTATCACTGAATCCATAAGCCATTCCATAATTCAACAATGCAAAGCATTGACATCAATGGTCTGCAATCTGAACACTTACTGTATGATGCATTATGTTGGGACCCTAAAAATCCTCGATTGCGTTACAGTATTCCTTCATTCGGCTGCCTGGAGTCATACATGTTCTGAACGAATACTTATACCGCAATAATTTCCAATGATATTAACAGGGTTCGTACACATTTCTGCACACGGAAATTAAGTACTTTTAAGGATCATTAATGAAAAAAATTAAGGACCTTTAAGCAAATGGGAACTGAGCAAATTCAATTGAAGATATTATTTATGCCTGAATTTCCCTTTTGTAGTACCATTCTAAAAATAAAATAGATCCCTAAGTAGTACGCATTATTACTAAACATGAATTAATTAACATAATTGTTAATAAGTTTGAGAATAAAATAAACTTTATGCAATTAATCATCAAGTAGCATTAAATATTTTACACTTATAATTGTTGGTCATATTTGAAAGAAGATAAGTGACATTTACGTTTTACTAACAGTTAGCTTTATGTTGATTTTTTTTTTTTTTTTTTAATGTCTCATTTTGTCACATACTTGGTCAGTCTAGAGGTTTAGTAAATAAGCAGGTAGATTTTATTTCAAACTGTTAAAATGAGAAGACCATAATCAGCATGATTCATAACAAAAGACAATGTTGTCACCGCTGCTGCTTGTCTACAGAGACTTGCTGATTAGAACAAATCTGAAAGGCCTGATGTAGGCAAGGTTGGCAAGTGTTGAAAGTTAGTCAGGTTCTGTTTCATGCAGTTAGTGTCGTAGCTTCGTATACAGTTCCAGGGGTTTTAAGCCAGTTAATATACTTTAAGTTTCCAATAAGCCTTTACAGCACCAGAGGTGATAACCTGTTTTGTATCATTTTAAGTAGATGCATAGAATATGTTTTACTTGAATGTTTACATTTTATCTTGTGACCACAGTGAGTATTAATGAAAGGCAATAACTCGCTTTATTATGTAGAGATAAATGTTAAGGGTAAGCAGTTAGTTATAAATAATTAAATTAGGTAGTTTTATAACCTTAGTAATTATGGATTTACATGACCACTATTAAATTTTAATATTTATCCGTCATTTTAATTTGAAGCCTTCTTGGCTAGTTTATATCGATTTCATTTTCTTTAAGCATCTTTTCTAACATTTAGAGATTTGTCTCAATGTACAAATCAATGCTCTCACTAGTTTCTGCGTCTTTATCTCCTAACTTGTCAACCTCTCCACAATGTACCTATAAGGGCTTAATTTATCTGGTAAAAGTTAAATATTCCAAAACTCCCGACAGGCGTGAAGCATATTATCGCTATGTCTGAAATTAACTACAGATCAGACAAAGATTTAAATAAGCCTCTCATTTAAAATGAGCTTAGAACATAAAGGTATGTTCTGGTGCTAACAAAATCAATTACAGCTCACGGTGACGCAATTAAACAAGAACAGTCAAATTCAAACTAATAATGTGGACTAATGGTCAGATTATACAATTTAATTTTAATTTAATCTGGCTCAATAACTCTATCATATGAGGAAATAGAAATGGAGAATTATAGTAAAGGTTGAAATTATAAACAATTGAGTCATTTACATAATAATAACTGCACATATCTTTGAAGAATAGTTTCCTTTATGTATTCATGCCCACTAGCGGCCGAGCGGTAAAGTCGCTGAACACTGGTGGTTCGAATCCCGCGAACGGGTTGGCTGCATGGGCGTTTTCGTGGTTTTCCCCATGTGTAACGTGTATACAAGCCAGTTTCCCTTAGAAAGTCCTCCACGAAGGCATCCCTCCCCTTAGGCAGATAGGCCTAGTGTGCTTTGTCGTAATTTAATAAACCAACCAAACCAAACCGTTATGTATTCAGTTTCTTTCTTCAACATGTTTCCCTTTCATTTTAGAATTTTTGGATTTAGTTAAAGATTTTTGTTATTTAAAAAACACTAAATGCATTTACAATGTACGGAAAAAGCGGTTAATTTTATTTCTTTAGTAATATGAACATTCAGAAGCAATATGAAATATATATAGTAAAGGCCGGTTAGGCTAATCTTTGGAATATGGTTGCAGGTAGTTTGGCGACATTTTGGTAAGGTGATAAAGGTTACTAACTAGGACTTCAGCAATAATCTGAGAAGTACACAGTTCCAGTCTCAGATTATTTTGGAGCGACTTTTATAATGGATAATTTAGAGGGGAAAGAAAATTAATGTAATTTCTTGCATATTTTATTTATTTTATACGTGCAAATGTTCATCCTTGGAAAGGGTATATGCAAGCTGAAGATATAAAAGGTTGCATAGTATACATTTTTTTTAGCGATCAGGTAATTTCATACATGTCCTTTTCACAAAATTTTTCTGCATTTTCGTGCAAAGTTTTCTATTTTATGAGAAAAATTTACATGTTTCATATATAAATTTGCCTTGTAAAAACAAATTTCTGTGCACGTTTGTTCCACTACTTTCCAGAAAATTCCGATCGTGATTTTAGCTAATGAGGATTTAGAAACAATTTCGCACCTAATCTTCGTCGTGATTAAGCACTTTTGTTCCATAAAAGTTCTAGCATAAGCGTAATTCGGTTAACAGATTGTTGGAAAAAATGTTGAGTAACAAAATGTCATCCAAAAAAAAATCTAGCAGGTTGCTGTAGCAGGGTTGGTCACCAAAAAAATCACCAAGTTACCATAATCCGAAGATTCACCCATTTTTAATTTCAAATACCAGTTACTGAAGTTTAGTAAAATGACATTATTTTTTTTAACATATACTATTGATTATCTATTTTAAAACCAACTTGGTTTGCAAAAACATTATTTAAAACGCTTTTGGTAAAACAAATAGGTTATTCAAAATTTTTGAAAATGTAATGTATTTAATAAAAGCATGAAAATAACGTAACATGCAATATTTCGTTGGCTATCCTTAAGCTTAAAATTATTTCATGTGCTTTGTCATTTTGTGCTAAATAAATAGTAAATATTGCATTAAAATTGCACATTGATACAAATTACTTCATTGAGATAATTCTTTCAAGTGATATAAAAAAGATCCGCAAATTATCATTATATTTCAGTTTCATTTTTCTTATATTTCCCCTAGATAAAAGGGGAAAAGATAAAGAATGAAAACTTATAAAATTATTCCATTATAAGTTGCACGCTGTGCGGTATGGTTGTCTAATTCTGAGCAGTAAATACCATCCAAATAAAGTGAGTTTTCCACACTGTGTATTTCTCGCTATATGTTTCAGAAATACATAATATGAAGTACTTGAGTAATCATTTCTTACAGTTTACTCCATTGATTAACTTTTGTGTACATATATGCCTATGCAAACTACACATATTTTACTATTAAGAAAAATACTTCCTCAAATTTTAATTTAGGGAGCATTATTCCTCCACCACGAAACAAAAATTCCAACTTCTTAAACTTTGCAGAAGCAATAGATATTCTGAATCAAATACACACATTTTTTTCCTTTTTATTAGGTTCAGCATTTGTGGCTGTAAAACATTAAAATGAAACTATACAGAGCTTTGAAAATGGTAGAATTTTCAAATACTTTATCATGCTGCAGATAGAAAGATAGCTTGAACAGAAAACACACTCACTTATGTTTTTAAAGCCATCTAAGGCATGTTTTTAAGCTCGGCTCTAGAAGCATATTACAATGCTCAGCAAGCCGATATTAACATTAATGAGCAAACTGATTGCGAGGTATTCTTATTACAGTCAAAAGTCGTTAATCCGGACTCGTCTTTGTTATTCTCCCTCCTTTCAGCATGCCTTCGTGATATAACGGTTAGCACACTCGTCGCGTATTCGAAAGGACAAGGTTCGAGTCCTTACGAGGGTATTTCTCATTTCCCATATCCTCTTGCTCGAAAATAACCTAATGACTCTACAGTGGCCCCGACCTAAAAGATGGTGGATGATGATTCTTCACCATCAGGATTTGGCGATTGGGTTCCCTAAGGTATTTTCTCCCTCCTTTTTGCATGCTTTCATGGTGTAATGGTAGTACACTCGGTGCGTATTCGAGAGGTCTAGGTTCGAGTCCCGGCGAAGGCATTGCTAATTTTTCACATCGCCCATATCAAAGAAATCCTGACAATCTACAACTGAATTGAATTATTTATATAAATATAAAAAGAGGGATTGTCATTGATTAGAATGAAGACATAAAATTATTTCTGAAAACATTTTTTAGAAATTTGATATTTAGCTTTAAATATAAGTAACCTAATCTGAAGAGAAGGTGAAAATGTAATAAATTGATAAAAGAACTAATTTTGTAGGGGGGGGGGGAATTCTCGTAGTAGAAATGAAAGAAGTAATATACGTTTTAATCTTACAACAATCTTACAACATACACAAAAAAAAAAAAAAAAAAAAAACCTGAGATATGTAAATTTAAATTTAAACGAGTTATCTTTTGACTTTCATTTTCTAATCAGTGAAAAATTAACATTAATAAAATTTAAGCTATCCAAATGAAGAAGCTTATAATTTAGCATTTAAATACCTAAATGATATACAAATAAAAATTTCATCACAACTTTCTTTCTAGCTTTAAAAACCAGTTATTTGAACAGTAAGACTGCTTTAAATCTTTTGAAGATAATTCTCTAATTCTCTAATTACAGCCTAGTTCAATCATAATGAAATTTGAATTGAAGCTGAAATAAGGCTAATATTCCCAGTTACTGTTGCTGATGGTAAGAGAAGCTTCTATAATCTTAAAATAATAAAAATTATGAAACATCTTCATTTGGTCTATCTATTATCTGTATAGAATATGAATTAAGCTATCAAATTCCTTCTGGAAAAAATATTGATGATTTTGTTCTATAAAGGTAAGGAGAATTAAATTATATACAGTCAAAAGTCTTTAAATCCGGACTCGTCGGGACTTCGGATTATCGATTTTTCCGGATTATAGATCATCAGTTTTAAATCTGGTAAGATGGCATGCAGAAGTTATAAAATTAAAAAAAATATGAAACCGTAATTTATGAAATAAAGAACAATTATGATCTAAAGGGTATCAAAATTTACAAAAAAAAAAAAAAAAAAAAAAGCTTAATATTTATTTGTTTACTTTATTAAACATTTCTTTCAATGTAAGTTGTTTAAGTTGCTTCGTTTTATGTGATAATACTTTCTCTTTAATTCTATAAACTGACATAATTTCTTCTTCAGTTACAAAGTTCCGCTGTTCAAGTCCTATAATTGCTGTGTCGAGAATACCGACTAATTTGTCAATCGAAATTTTTTCGTTTTCAATAACCTCTGTGTCACTTTCTTCACTATCGGAAGCGAATTATAATAATGACGAGGAATTTGATTTAAATCATATCAAAGACGGAGTATATCGAAATGAAATACTACATTTAGTAAGCAATTATAAGCCAAATAAAATAAAAACATCTGCCCTGAAGATAAGGATAGTGCTGACAGATCAACTTCCAATTCATTGCGCGCTCGCCGGGCGTTAAAGATAAACAAAGTTTAGATAAATAAACGTTAAAGCATCATACTTGCCAACCTATGACACTCAAAAATCAGGAGATTTTTCACAATGTTAAAAAGACTTTTTAAATGATAAAAAATAGTTACTAAGTCTTAAATGCAAGCAAAACAAAAATACCTTAGACAAACTTTTAACTCATCGTTAAAAAAAAAAAAAAAAAAAAAAAAAAAAGGCACTTTAATTTTAATCATCAGTTTTCATACAAATGTTATGGACAGTGGCAGATTTTGCTCTCGTTAAGAAAGAAACTTCATAATTTTGTTCATAGCAATTGCCACGTAGGCCTGCTTTCGCTAATAAAAGTTTTTCTAATGTGTCATCACTAATATTAGATCTAAATTTAGTCCTCGTTTTCGCAACAACACTGAAAATCCTCTCACACTCTGCATTACTATGGGGAACTGTCAAGATGGCCAACATAATTCTAGAGAGTTCACTATATTTTAAAATTCCATCAGCACCTTTCAATTTTCCAATTAACCTCCACTGGGTGTCAATCCTAGCTGATTTTATAACTTCATCCAAGTTTTCTAATTGTAAACTGCAAAATTGCGACTGCAGTATATCAGTAGCAACATCAATATCATCATCTTTCATGACTAAACGAAGTAACACAGGAAATCTGTTCAAAAAGTACCTTATATCAAAAAAAAAAAAAAAAGATGCATTTGCTAGAGCAGAAACATCAGCAACTTTAGCATGCAAAATCACTTCATCGTTGACTGGAAATTTATGTAGTGTGTAATCACATACTCGACAGAAGTAACTTCTAACATGAAGATAAAACTTATTTTTGTCTTCTTCTGAAAGTTCTTCCACTACTTTTGTAGTTGCAGCTCCTATTACCAAATCTTCATCTTCCTTCTGATTTTCTGTTTCACCATAAATCACATCATATATAGAATTACAAGACAAAACACAGACTGGTTTTACAAACTTTGATAAAATGTCTTTAAACAGATCATAAATCATTGATTGCAAAACATGAATTAATGGAATTCTGCTTTGTAGAATTGTGTTCAGAACATCGAATGATGGCAAAATGAATTGTAAAAAAAAAAAAAAAAAGCAAAAAGCTTTGTTAAGGTCCGAAGAAAAACAACATAAATATTCGTTCTTCACAAGATAAACTTACAGTAATCGGAAAATGTTTCGTGTGTTGAGCAATTTTTTTTTTTTTTTTTATTTTGAGAGAAATTTGTATCAGCTTTACGCTTATATTTTGCAGTATTATTTTGAGAACTGCCAGTTGAATTGCTGAATGATGCAGAAATTACAAAAAAATCAAAATTTTTCTCATTTCAGTATTATGCAGCTGTTGGAACTGTTTCAATTTTTCCTTTCTTTTAGAACTCCTTTCAAGATAATAATAAATATCAACAATGTGTTCATCCACATTTAATGGTAAAGAAGCTGCCCCTTTTTCAGCTGCTAAATTTAAGAGGTGACAGGTGCACCTCATAATCTGCAAATCTGAATTTGCCTTTCTTAAGATGCCTGCAACACCAGTCTTCAAGCCTACCATTACTGGTGCATTATCGGCACCAAGCGCTAAGCAATTATCCAGAGGGACTGCATTTTATTTTAAAGTTTTAATAATTAGCTGTGCTATATTAAAGCCTGTCGAATGTCCTTCTAAAGTGGGGACAGAAAGTAAACTGCACTCAATTTCTGAAGACTCTGGATTAAAAAAAGAAACAACAATTGGATACAGTTTTGAATTGGTATTATTGCTTCCATCCGTAGAGAGGCAGAACGAAGCTGTTTTTTAATGCAATCAATAACTGAAGATTTATTTTTCAAACCCATTTCTTTAACAATTGCACCTGTTTTGGTCCTTGCACTTGAGTATTTCTTAGCGATTTCACTATCGGGAAACATTTTTCTAAATAAAGCTGCAGCGTGATCCGATGCATTCAGTGGCAGGTTGTGCTCCAGTAAAAAGGCAGAGAACAGACATTCTGCACTTTTTGGTCTTTTGTTTCCGAAGAAAAATTTAATTTTTCGTTTTTTCAAAACAACTCATGTTGTCCTTGTGTTTTTGTGTACGCACATGTTTGAGAACATCTGCCCTTCCACCAAGCGAAATCGAAAAATCGCAACGACAGATGGTACACACCTCGCAAATTTATTACATTTCCTTGAAGAAATAATGGAAGGAAAGTCAACTGTGTACGATTTTTGAAACGTGCACGAGTATTTCACCTTTCTCGCAGACATATCAAAAGACGATAATTTCTAAAACTATTTCCTAAAGGCACGTGTACTCACACAACTCAGGACAAGATGAACGAAATAAGCGAAAGAACATCCAAAGAACGGCCAACGGCCTTGAGCCTTGAGCTTGCTTTGTGCTCATTGGCTAATATATGCCAGATGACACGCAGTGGAGCTCGATGCCCATTGGAGAACTGGAGAACGACGTTTCTGGATACGTATGCTGTCACTCACAAAGCAGAAATTCTCATCTGATTCGCAAGGTTTTCATTTTAGATATAATCTAGAGAAAATTCAGTTGCTTTCAGACGTCCAAAATCACTTTTTTTTTTTTTTTTTTTTTTTTTTGTTCATATAACGAAGTATTAAGCCAAGTTCCATAAAAATCGTGAGAAATATTAAGAATAAGAAAAAGTCGGGAGAAATATATTGTAAATCGGGTTGGCGGGAGAGCGGTCGAAAATCGGGAGAGTTGGCAACTCTGAGCTTAGATAAACAAAGGATATGCCTTTATCCATAATTTGCAGCAATTCCACTTTTTGTTTAATGGACTCCGAAACATACTTTCGCTTTGTAGATCCGTTACATATTAGTAAATATAAATCGGAAATTCTATTTTACATAATCGAATGTTCAAGCTTACTTTTATAAAATTGCTCTAATAGTCTGCAAAAAATAATAAGCCGGATCCAATTCGAAGATTAAGGAACAACGCAATCGGCTACATTAACTGAAATAGATAATTAGAGCTGAGCTTATACAATCCGTTATACATTAAACGCGCATTCGTAAACGTATTTTGCGCACACGCAAATTCGCAGCCGTAAAGGTCTTACGCGCATGCGTCGGGACACATGCGCAGAAAGTTTGTAGCTTTGAGGTCCGGATTATGGGTGTCCGAATTAACAACTTTTGACTGTACACATATTTCATAGGAAATTTACAAGTCTTATTTTTTTTTAATTTGAAATTACAAGTCGTTTAAAACTGACCATAGTGGAAGCAAATAAACTGTAACATGATGGCTACAACAATGAATTTTTTTCTTCTAGGATCATCCAATCAGAAAAGAACTTGAAAGAGATCCTGGCGTCCTTTTAGGTACCGTGCATGATCTTGATCTCTCAAAATTCAGAAGAGGAAATAACGAGAAAACATCAGGAATGCCAGAGATCTTCAGACGTAATTTAAGATCAGAAGAAGATGCTCAGTGCCACATACGCATACAAGAAGTAATTAGTTCTTACTTTCGTCTACTTCTCCTGAAATTGTTGTATTAAACACTCATATGCAAAATTAAGAAATCTGCACATCATGTCGAATTTCTGAAAACCTAATGGACAAAGCTTAATTGAATTTGGTATGAATATGCATTTAAAACAGGAAAGAACTGTACCATTCAAATGTCATTTTATATACACATGATTATCAGTAAAGTTCATAATGCAGGGAAGTCCCAAATCCACATCGTGATATCGAACTGAGTCTAACTGGCATTCTCTCACAATCAGACAGGTCTCACGGGATGACAGCATACTAGACAGGAGGCAGTTGAGAACTCTCTGTGGCAGTCTATCCCACTCCACCAACAAGATAGTCTCCAACTTCGAGATGGTTCTTGGAGGGGGATGACAATGTGAAATTGCTCTTTCAAGGGAATCCAATATATGGTCTGCATGGTTAAGATCAGGAGATTTAGCCAGCTAATCCATGCAGCAAATATACTCACTTTTTAAGTAATTGTTTACCTGCTGAGGCATATGTGGATGAAAGTTGTCCATTAACATGAATCCAGGACAACTGTACCCCTAAGAAGTCAAACATACAACTCTACGATCTTCTCATTATATCTCATAGCAACCAGAGAGCCTTTGGTAAACACATTCAAAGGTGTGCAGCCGTCCAACACAATGCTGTCGCTCAATCAGCTATTGCTACAAAATTTTTGGAAGCAGCTGCTATTTTCCTATATTTATGTTTTATGCACTCTACAAATTTTCTCATTTTCATCTAATTTTTTCTAAATAAGAACGACATTGCTATTGTGTTGGAAATTGTGCATAATAATAGTATTCAAGAAGTTACTTTCCTATGACAATTACTGATAATTGATTAACATTATTCTTTAATGATGAATATAATTCTTACTTATAATATTCTTTGATGCTGTAGACAATAGCCATCCTGAAATGGTATGGTGGTTAACAGAGTCTGACGCTAGCCCAAAACCAAAGTTGTCAGTTCGACTCTTGTGAAAGATTTAGATGGGTTATTTTGTCTTTCTTCCCTCCTTGCTGAAGCAGCATCAGTTAATCCCTGCGGTTCACTTTGAACTATGCTCTCGATTATGACTGCTAAAAGGGCAATGTATTTTGTCCTAATTTCCAATGAACATTTGTTTAATCAGCAAGTGTCTAACCATTAGAGGGGGAGAAGATATTACAGATTAGAAAAGAGAATAGACCGTGCACGAGCTCAATTTCTGAACTCGGACTTCTAGAGACATGTTATACTGATTATTACACCAGAAGTGGCATGAAAGTCTCAGTTTTTTACATTTACCCCACCTAAAAGAGAATAGAAGGAGGAACTCCAGGTAACTTTACTAGTTCTGTGATAGTTATTTTTCATCTATTTATTTCTGGTATCACTTGTCAGAAAGAGATTTTATAAAGCGTAATACAAGGGGTGATCAAATGAAAAGGTATGAAATGACACGGTGGGTACAAATGTAGACTTTATTCAAAATACACACCATAGGCCTGAGCACAACGATCCCACTGATGAACAAGCCGCAGGATTCCTTGTTCCCAGAATTCTTGTGACCGTGACGAGACCCAGTCCTCCACAGCGTCCTTGAGTACATCATCCGAGTTGAAGCGCTTTCCTTTCAGGTGTTCCTTCAGAGGACCAAACACATGGAAATCGCAGGGCGACATGTCCGGATTGTAGGGCGGATGGTACAACATCTCCTATTTGAACTTGGCCAGTTCCATGTGTGTGACTGGAGACGTGTGGACGCACATTATCATGGAGCAGAACCACACCCTCCGTGAGCAGCCCCGGTCTTTTGTTCTTGATGGACCTGCGTAGGCATCAGAGTGTCTCACAGTTAATGGTTTTTCTGTGCTCGAGGAATTCCACAAGTAGCAGACCTTGAACGTCGAAAAAGATGGTGAGCAAAACCTTGCCTGCTGACAGCACGGCTTTGAACTTTTTAGGGGGAGGTGACGATGCATGCTTCCACTGCATGCTGCTCCACTTTGTCTCTGGCTCGTAATGCTGGCACCAGGTCTCATCACCTGTGACGATCTGCTCCATGCAGCTGGGTCTTCCTGATACCGAAACAGATGTTACACAGTTCCTTTTGCTGGCTGGTGAGCTGCTTTGGAACCCAAGCGGCACACACCTTCCGATATCGCAACCTGTCGTGAACATTTGTTTACACGGTTCCATAGCTGACATTCACCGCCAACATTTGCAATGTGACACGCTGATCACTTCTCACTATGTCGTCCACCTTGTTGATGAGATTGCTCGTGATGATAGTGTTTGCCTGGCCTGGTCTTGGGTCATCACCCACACTCTCATGGCCTGCACGAAAACGGGCACTTCATTTTCCGACAGACCTGTCAGAAACTCATTTTCTCCCATAAACTGTCACCATCCGGTAATGAATAGCTGCCAGTTTCTCACCTTCCTCTGTCAGAAATCGGATAACACCTCGCTGCTCCTCAGTCATCGAATTTTACAATGCGAACCCCACTTTTGATAAGAGCCTCTGCTCTCTCCTGTGCATGCAGGCGCTTACACATGCTCCGATCGGGATGCAATTGGAGTCACCAAGATGTCTCGCTACATTTTCCCATGGCGGAATATGCAAATATTTAACTGTTACGTTTCAAACCTTTTCATTCGGTCACCCCTTGTATTATAGGAAATTCAGCACATGCCCTCACACTGAAGATAACAGAGATTTGCCAAATTATGTATACAGTAAAAATAATAATTTATCTGGGAAGAAAGTTTTGAATTTGTAAAAAGCAAAATTAGAATAAGTGCTGTGTATACTAATGAATATAAGAAGTGCTATGTGTACTCTTACTAATCTTAGCTACATTAAGAACAATGACTAGGATTTGCTTCTGCTAGCAATTTATCTTCCATGTAAAATACTGAATAGCTTTAATTTTGCAAATTAATCCAATAGCAAATAAAACCAACTTCACTCTACAAATCGAATGAACACAACTGTGAAACTTAAGTCTGCAACTTGCACCTTACAAAAACCAAGGATTCATTACTCACATATAAAGAATGGTTGACTTTGAATGATAAGTTTTCACTAAAGCTTGATCAAAAAGCTAAAAGACCGAAACAACATGCAATTTCACATGCAAAATTAAATTCCGATTTCTACGAGTCAACTTACAATACAAGCGTGAATATTGAAGGCAGCAGGAGACAAATATGCTATTGGCCACTAATATCCATGTCTTGACACCTATTGTGTCCTGTTAAGTGTTGTTCAAGGTCGAAATATTGAACGTTTGAATACTTCTGGATCTGAGTTGGAAAAGAGGAGAAAACGGTAGCAAAATACATGAAAATTTCAAATTAAAGCAGGCAGAGCATGTTAAGTTGGAAAGGAGAAGCATACGATAATTGAATACTAATTTGTTAACTTTAAAATTTCAATCTAAAGCAAGCATCTTAATGTTTCATGATTCATAAAAATTCATTATTTTCCTTGTTAAATAATTTTATCTTTTTCAGACGAAAACTTATCCAGGACATTGCATAAGAACGATGAATGGAATATCTGCATGTCAGAACGATGAATACATTGAAATCAATCACAATGAATGCAGTTAAGTGCACTGGCTAAAGATTCCTGATGTGGTACATCTTGAATGAAGTCTTTGATTTGCGATATGATGCATCATTTTCCTACTAGAGTACAAAAAATTAATGATTTTGATTATGATGTGTTTTCTGTAAGATATAATAAAGATATATCCACATATCTCTTTTCATCTTTACTGAAATTATTCTTATGTATTACTGATATATTTCCAGCAGTCCCTTAAATGCACTTGGGCATTATACCAAATTAGATTCAATATTGCAAGTTATAATTTATTAATATTTACTTTCATTCATTGTGTGCCGTTAAATGAGTATTTTACCAAATTCACTAACAAACAAATATTCAGTGCCATCCTAATGAATAAACATATGAGTAAAAGTTCATTGATATGAACAAACATTATGATTACTTCATTTATATGACTAAGCATTCAATGGGATTTATTTAAATAAACAAGAACCAACATACGAATACAAATCAATTCATATGATCAATTATGAATATTCACATGATCTTTATACAGTCAAATACCAAAAATCCACAAACCCCTAAAATCCATGTTGCCTCTCAAAATATAAACATTCAGTTTATAGGTTCCGGAAACTGCAACATTGAGTATGAAATATCGAAGAAAAAATACTTACCGAATAATGACGTCATAATTACTGAATAATAATGAATCATAACAGAAATACCAAATTATTGAAATCATGATAAAAGTTTTTTCCCCTCTAATTTGCATCGAGCTAAAAAAGCAGACGATTCACTCAACTCTTCTTTCAAGTTCACGATTCACGTTGTTGTATTTTCTGAGCTCTGTTATTTCACGAGATCATTTAGTGCTGCCTTTTTTTTTTATCCGGATATTTTGTGGATAAATTAAGAATATTTTATATTTCAGCCTTTCTTAATACAATGACAGACAAGAAACGTACTCATAATTTTACTGCTTGCAACATTGAAAAATGTAAACACATTGCATTGACGGTAACGCAAAAAGTGCAAATTTTATCGATTTACAGCAGAATTGTATGGAATTGCAACACGATTGTGTACGATATACGGAAAAATAAAGAAATGCTGTTGAAATTTTACAGCAACAGTGATTCTAACGACGGAAATCTTTGCATGAGGCGAAATAGGCAAACTTGGATGCTGTACAATGAATAATACACTCAATTTATATATGTAATAATAATTTAATGCATATAATGAATTATTGCAATTATGTATATAATAATTTAATTAAATGTATCTAATATGCCTTATTTATTTTGCAATTTGAGACTGAATATTATGATTTAGCTTTTCTATACTGAAATCCACACAACCTCTGGTCCCAAACTTTGCGGATTTCTGGACTTTTACTGTATTTACTAACAGTTGCAAACATAATGTGATTATTTAAGAAGAAATGCAAAATTACAAAAATCTGGCAAATGTTGCAAAACTGTCAAACATTTTGCACGAAAGTATCACGATCTATTGGGGAAATGGTAAATTACATATTATGCATTGGGTGAACTGAGTTTGGGCTTCAAGGAATTGAAACACTGATTTTTCTCTTGCCAAAATTCAGGCTGGGCATTCCAAAATTGGCACATTTGCATTGCCCGAACTGAGTTCGGGAGTCACAGGCAAGGGATTAATGTTACTTGTGTTATGAAAACATTGTAGTTTTGCAACACTGTACTGTATTGTATATATGGTGAATTTTAAAAATTATCATGACAATTTCATAAGCAGGCAGACATTTGAAATTATACGTTATCACACTCAGAAGTTCATAATTTTCATGCGTTAATACATCTGACAATTTTAAAATGTTGTCTAATTTGTTTTTCTAAAATCATGTCATATGTTTTAATTTTAAATAACCTGTACAATTTTCGAAATTATTTAATTGTGGCAGATAGATCAAAAACAGAACTGACGGACTTGGTGCTGCAATTTCAACAGATGACATCAAAATAAGTTCTGGAAATTTATATTCAATTATCAAGAAATATTTCTTATCTAAAATTGGTGCAGTCCCATTGCTGCTGGTTAAAAGGGATTCTGCTGCATCGCTAATATGTCCATATGTACGATAATACAAAAGAAAGAAAAACTTCTGCAAGTACGTATCATTTGTGAAAATGAGTAAAAGATGAAGATATGAACAAAGAAATTAATCAAAATTGAAAAATCTGAATGTAATGTTTATTTACAAGACTTATTACAGCACGATAAAATATATAACACTTTAGAATCACATTCTCAACTCACAGCTTTTAATTCCACTATAAAATAAAGAACGCTATCCGGAGGAATCTTATCGTTGCCTGCCTTTCCATACCTGTAAAGAGAAAAACAATTTTTTTTTATTATCCAATGGACCTGGCTGACTAGTCACTCAACAACTTATGCACAGTTGTGATTTAAATCTGTTCAACAACAAGAATATCGCAATCTGAAATCTTAGACCCTAAAACATTAAAAAGGAAATAAAAAATTTCAAAAATAAAATGTGAATTATAATAAGAACTAACCAGTTATTTTTCGTACAAACTTATTTTTATGGCATTAGAAATAACTTAATTTACTGAGAACAAACTTCAAATGTTCATAAAATTTAACAGTTCAATATAATTTAATTTATATATATTACATGTGTATAAAATTAAAAATTAATATATTTTTAATTTGAATGGATTAGATGTATTGAAAACGAAGTTGCAGATAGTCACAATAATTATCAGTTGGATATATTATATGTAATTTATGTTAGATATAGTTTAATTTAATAAATGCATTAACAAACAAAGCTGCAAAATGTTCAACACAATTATCAGACTTATTAGCTAGATATATTTTATTTCATATGGATGCTTTAAAAAAAGTGTGTGTGGGAGAAAATATAGTCAACACATACGATTTGATTAACCACACTATGGACTAAGAGGTTTCCTGTATATAAAAAACAGCTGGAAGAACCAATATCACAGCCACCAATATGAAACAAAACTGTCAACAGAAAATACAAAAAGTAAAAATGTGAAAGTAAACAGATGCTATAGCAAACAATGTTCAGGGTATTTGGAAGTTGTTTTCGTCCAGAATGGTACGTAATTTAATTGCATATAATCCTGATATTTAAACACTGCTAAATCACTCAATGAACACTATAGTAAAATATAAATAATCACCACTTAATTTAAGAAATATTTATTACAAACATCAGGAGCAAGCAAATTATTAGGGGAGTAAAAGGCCCAGTTGCATCTTAACTAGCTAATATTTTTTTTTTTTTTTTAAATCAAATAACCACAAAAGCAACTACAATTTCATCATTCCAAATCGCTGATTTTACATTTTATATTCCTGAAAATTTTAGGGCTCACAACATTCTTAAATTTAGAAATTGGCTGCAAATCAAAGCCGGTTGGAAATGCCTTCAAATAACTTTATACATGAAACTAAAATCTGAATAGAATGCTGGAAAAGCACTTTTTTCAGCAATTTGTATTTTTATTTACCGTATTTATGCGCATCGTTTTCAGCAAAATGTAGTACTCAAAATTGGGGTGTGCATTGGATTCGATGGCGCATTAGATTCGAGTGCAAAGTTCGGCGTTGACGTCAACCAAATTTAAATCATAACAATGGATTACTGTATTTCTCGACTACATTTACCGTAACATTTATTGTTGACACATTATTGCATAGAGGATACAAACTGCAGAGTACGAAGTCACGAAATGGAGGGCAAGCAGAGAAGAATGTCATATGACGCTACTTTCAAACGTAAAGTAATTCTTTATCCTGAAAGAAATGGCAATAGAAAGGCTGGGAGAGAGTTAAACGTAGCTGAGAGCAATGTTCGCTTGTGGCGGCAACAGAAATTGGCACTGTTTGCAACTAAAACTAGTAGAAAGAAATTCACTGGCCCTCGCAAAGGAAGACACCCTAAAATTGAAGAAAAAAGTTTTGGAATTTGTACGTGAAAGGAGGAAGAATGGACAACCTGTGACTAGCGACACTATAAGAAATAAAGCAAAAGAGGAGGCTGAAGTTCTTGGAATACCGAAACCAGAGTTAAAAGCTAGCCGTGGATGGGTGGATCGGTTTTATGAAGCGGATGGGCTTATCTCTAAGACGCCGTACAACAATATGCCAAAAGCTTCCTGCAGATTTTGAGGGAAAACTACTAACATTTTAGCGGTATGTCATCACACTTCGGAAGGAAAAGAATTTTTCAATGGGGCAAATTGGCAACGCTGACGAGACGCCAATTTGGTTTGATATGCCTCGTAACTACACCATTACGGAGAAGGGGACTAAAAAAGTTATCATCAAAATAGTGAATAAAGACGTTTACTATTAATCACTGATTGTAGAAACTGTTAGCTAGATAGAAATGTTACGATTTATTTCATGTTCATACTTTACGATATCCGTATATACGGTAGTGGTAATTAACAATGATTGTTTCACATAACAATAGCCCACTAATAGGTTAATTCTATGTTCTGCTACTTTATGTATAAATCCACTGTTGTATAAAATATGGTATCTAAATTTAAATAAAATTATCATACCATTGATTGATAGTTTATATACAAATCCATTGTTGTATAAAATAAGATTCAATAAATTCCTCATACCATTGATGCGCATTACATTCGCCGACAACAATTTTTTTATTATTTAAAGTTTTAAAATGGGGATGCGCATTAGATTTGCATAAATACGGTAATTTTTTTTCCCAGAGTTTTTAAAATTTATCATGATAAAATTTTATTTTGAGATTTTCAGTTCTATAGAATAGAATAAATAGCAGAAAAGAACAGAATGTAATATAAAAGAGAACAGAATAGAGTCGAGTAGAATAATTTATCAAGTTTATGGTTTGGCAACAGTTTTATACACTATCTGCAGATTTTATTGTATTGTAATTAGCGATAGTTTGGGGAAAATATAAAAACTTAAATTATTTATTAAAGGAATAACTGCTCAATCTTCTTGTTCATTTTGTTTTGAGGTGTGCTTTTATTTTGAATACTTAATTTAGATAACAAAGCTGCTTAAAAATACTTCCCTATTAATTCTGAATTTATTCCCTTTTCCTGCATTTCTTTTCTTTGACTAATTTCATACACATTATCTCAGTATTATGCCTGCGAACTTAGTTATAACAATTTACACATAATGCACACATTAAATAAATAATTTAGTCAATTCACTGAATTATTTACAAGTGTGTCTGCTGCTTTCAAACCACCAACTTTTAATCAATAACATAATCGTTTATCAATAACAGACTTACACTCAAAAACACTGAAAATATCGCACCAAGAAGGGAGCATAAGACTGAAATGAAATTTTATACTCATAACGATACAGATGTGTTCTCAAGGTATCTGGAAAGGGTTTGTGGAACAACTGGCACCCCTACATATAACTGTACTGTGGAATGACTCATTGTGAAATCCACGAGCGCTTGCCATACGATACTTCAATCCTCTCGTCTTATCATGCTGGTTCCTCCAGACAGGGTTCTCTGCTCCCAACATGTTCTGACGGCACACTCCGAATGATCAACCTGGCAGGCAACATGGCACATCAACTAGCCTGTGGTTTTTCATGCCATTCATCAGGCCCTCCCCCAAACTCGCTTAACTGTAAGAAATGTCTTCTCTCATGTCAACACAGTATTCTTTGCTTACTGAAGTCCTCCTAGAGTTGGAACGTGATCGTCGTGTTTATGAATGTTCATCTATGTGCCATTTTACACAGGGCCCACTTGTTGACTGAAGCGCCACTGCAGGGTGTGTGATTATGTGCACTGACACCAAACTTGGATAATTTGCATATCGGATCTTGCTGTATTTTCAATGCTTCTGAGTATATTAAATTTGAAAAATAAAATTAAGGTATTATACTTTTGTAAACGAAAACACTTGGAATCTGATGTACATGGATGTAACCGGTCTTATGCTTCGAGGAGTAGCAAACATTCATGAAGGATATCTTCTAGATTCTTCTACTTTCTTCCCATCTATCAATTTCCTCAGAATAGTATTTTGCATTACCATTTTGTTTAATTTTAAACAGGTATATTTCTTTTAAAGTACTAAAAAAATCTGGCAATCTGAAAATTTCACATTTGAGTCTTGTAATGTTTTTAATAAACTGGTATTTGAATATTAGTATCTCCTTACTTTTTCGAATAAATTTTAAGAAATAAAGATGAATGATCAGCCACATATATTATTTATTATTTAAATATAAAATACAGTAAAATCTCTTATAATGGACACCAAGTTAACTGGAAATATGAAAATAACAGTATTTCTGTAGGTCTGAATTTAAAACCAAAACACAGGCCCATGAGATTAAAAAAAATAATAATAAAATAAATAATAATATGTGATGAGCTAACAATCTGAAGACTTAAAAGTGGAGACATTTATGTTATGTTTTCCCACCCAATATAACAAGCTTTATCTTACTTGTGAACTGAGGAATTATCCTGAATGTCACTTTATATGAACTAATGTGTGAATTTTTCTGTCTCTTGCTTAAAAGTATATAAAGAACATTATGTTATAGATGGAGTGAATTGCGTATTAAAATCATGATCATCAACAGGGTCATATTAATGCTTTTAGAGGACCCAAGCAATGAAAACATTTTAGTGCCATTTTTTTTTTTTTTTTTTTTTTTTCCGTTTTTTTTTTTTTTTTTTTTTTTTTTTTTTTTTGTTTTTTTTTTTTTTTTTTTTCTACACATTTACATCTACTATCCCCCCCCCTTTTTTTGATTTAGCTGCACCATTTCCATGGCAAAACTGCTAATGGAAATTTTTGGGGGTGCTCCTTTCCTCAATGCTCTAAAAGCATGTGCTTATTTTACATTTTATTGTGCAATTATGTGGAAACATTTTTATGTCCAGTGTGTGAAGATTGTATCAGAAATTCTAAAGCTATGCTCTTTTTAAATTATTTTGTGATACTGAGGTTGAATTGAGTTTTATGCTTTAAGTGCAAAGAACATTATATTTAATAAATTAAGTAATGCACAAAATATTTAAAAAATGCCCCTTTTGGTGTAATATAAAATCTGAAAGCTTTAAGGATTTTTTATTTATTTAAATTTTTTATTTATACATTTACTTTCGGCTGGTGGTTTGAAGATACAGACACTGGACATCCAGATTACAGACTTTATACTGCATAAAAACAGTAGTTCATTTGTAATTCACTGCTCTTTTAAATTGTTAATGTGGTCACGGGGCCAAAATATTTGCAGTGATCTGCAGTAAAACAGTTACTGTATACGTAAGGGTAGGGTAGCTATGAAAACCTCCACAAAAATATAAACACTCACCCCAGATTGGAAGGAATCTTCAGCCTTCTTTTCCCACCAACTTTCATACCTGTAAGATAATAAAACAAAACTTAGAACTGTTTTGCTGAAACTGGAATAAAATCAATAAACTTATGCTATTAATTATAAAAATCTTACAGAAATATTTTTCTTATAAGATTTTCAAAGCTTTCACAAAACACAATTCTATATAAATGATGCTTTCAAAAATTATACAAAAATGTTCTAAACCCTTCTCCAATTTCTAGTTTCAAAAGTTTGTCTTAGCATAATAATTACGATGGATCATATAAAACAATAGCATACTACAGCATTTGGAATCTGAAGAAGCAGTTGTAAAGAAGCAGAAGTAAAACTTCTGCAGGTTTAAGTGTCTAAAATTTTGTTGCAGTTTAAATGCAACAAAACTAATTAAATAGACAATTTAAAATGGATTATATATATATATACTGATTACTAAAGAAGAGGGCATTTCAGAATTTGGATTGTAAATAAACAGACAGTTCTGTAGGTTCAAGTGTGAAGTTATACTGAGTTTAAACATACTAATTAATATGAACGAAATTAAAAAAAAACTGATTAAGAAGCTAGAGTATATTAGGACTTTACGTTGGGAAAAACACTTGTTTAGTATGACAATTAATATGAATTCCAAATATACCGAATATGAAACATGTATATATTGTTGTAGTTAAACAGGTGTAGTATAAGTATAGTTTAGAAAAACTTCATAATATTCTTGTGAACTAGCTACAAAATTTAAAACTACAACTTTAAATACACATGAAATGGAAATATTACAGCAGTTTTAAATAAGACAAATTATATTATGGTTTAACATATTACATTAATGTGAATAACGTAATGTAACTGAAGGTTATTAAAAACTGGTAACCAATACTTTTGAGGGTCAGCTACATAGTTTACAACTACAGCTTTAAGTGAATATAAAACATGTAAATATTAGCACATTTAAGCTACAGCTTAGTAAAAATTTATAACCAAATGCTGTAGTATGCTGTTGTTTTTAACTTTAAGTGGACATGAAGCATGTGATGTTACAGCAAGCTCAAATGTAAGAAGTTTTGTTATAATTTTAACATAATAATTATGCTCAGTCACATAACTAAAATGAATATGAAACATGAAAATATTACTGTAGTCTAACAAGTGTAGTATAGTAAAAAAAAAGCATACCTAAGATTACAATGTTTAAAACAACTTTAACCGAACCTGAAACACATATATAACAACGTTTAAAACAACTTTAACTGAACTTGAAACACATATATAATGCTAACTTCAATTGATTAAATTTGAAAGTTTTGTTAAAAGTAGTTTTTCTATTATATTTTTAACTCAGTACCAACAGTCATTAAAGTTTTTACTAAAGAAGTCCTAAATCTTTATGAAATGGAACAACATTTGAATGATGTTTGTGGTAATTTCTCTCCTTCACATTTTATAGCAGAAGAAATGGAAGTATTTTGCATGGGATGAGATACCCTTGAAGATGACCTTTGCTAAGGTCAATCAACGGAAGCATGGAGATCAGAAACTTTGTTTTTGAGAAAGCTACACAACTAAGAACAATTATTTTGCATATTTTATGTGTGGTTGAAAAAGCCGCTGTAAGATAGATACTCCAACTTCTGCTACTGATTCAAGAACAAAAAATCTGTTGCCTGGTGTATGAAGCTCTTGCAGCTTTACACTGCAAATCAGAGAATTCTTTCACAGTCAATCTTGACAGCAAAAAAACCATGTTTTTTATATTACAATTAATCACAGAAATACCGCAACTCCTACTTAATAATACTCCCATTATGTTTACGCCTTACTTGGGGAAAAGCATATACACCAAGCTAGAAGGAAAAACAGCAGATATGCTTAGGAAGCAGCCAGCAATATTAATACAGCAGAACTTAACATTCCAGAGCCAACATCACATCTGAAGTGCACATTGTTAAAAAAAAGGCAACACAAAAATAACAATCAGAATGGGACCAAGGCAGCAGAGGAAGACAAACACTTGTTTTCATACAGAAAGTCTCATTGACATATCAGACTACCATTTTGTAATTAACCAACTATATTAATGGCCACAGTCTGTTTCAAACATACTTTTACTGTTTTAATATCTCGGACAAACATATCTGCATCTGCATCTTCCTACTAACATCATTGATACATATAAAAGATTTATAATCACTTAACAAAATCTAAAGAATGATAAAATTCACAGCAACAATGGGACAAGATATCTGTCAACAGCACTAGGGAAATTGGGGACACTCAGTGGGTAACTTCTTTCCAGTATATGAACAATTAATATAACAAAAATTACATGTGATTATAGCAAGCATTAGACTTTAGAAAATATGCTTAACTTCTATAAGACAAATTGCACATTATGTACTGGAGGGGGGATATTATCTGGTATGTATGACTTATGCACTTTTAGCCCTTGTCAAAATAATTTTTTACTGCAATTAACTCCTGATGGGAAGGCAAAGACAATTCCTGTTAACTCCTCGCAGCCATCAAGAATCACATTCTTAAGCGCTACAATCAATGAAAAAGATTGTAGCCACAAATTTTTAGGACTAGTAAAGGATTGTCATCTATAACTTAAAGAAAGGAACATGAAAATAAAAGTTAAGAATTAATCCACATATTACTGTACATTACTTTGTGGCAGTGGATCATTTTTTTGACAAAGCAAAATTAAATACATATATTAACTGATTAAATTTTGGTCAAAGGAACCTTTACAAAAAGTTCCATATACATCTACAAGAGAAAGACTTCAGATGTGATAAAATTTAACCAGAAAAGATGAAAATCACTTGCGGAGGACGGAATTTGAACAATTAAAGTTTCAGAAATTCAACAAATTTCTTTTATAGCTGAAAAACATTTCCTAAAAGGTTAAAAATAAAAAACCAGGAGATCTGATGTATAATCCAGACAGATGGCCACTATACACCATATGCTATATTACAAAAATAGCTAATTTTTGCCATGGTCCATCAATTCTGTAACAAAAACTGTATGGAATGTTACAAAAGGTTAAGGTTTGTGTATTAGCCACCCCCTTGTAATTTGACATGTGTAATTAAAAATTAGTAAACTTACTTTCTTAAAAAATTCATAACCTTTGGCATCTAGAAATTTGTTTATGCAGGGTGTTCCAAAAGTAAATAGCTATTTTTGTGAAATTAGACACACACATACCCTCTCCCTAAAGTGCTAAAAAAGAACAAGGTATTAAAAGACTTGAATTTTTATTACCTCCAGGTGTTATTAATCCTGATCCTCACACTCTGTTTGTATCACTTTTCAAACATAAAGATGTTGCCACCAAATTTATAAGCGTGTATTATTTTTTAAAAATAATATAGGAATAAAAAAAAAAGTTATTGCAACAATGGGCACTCTGTCAGGAGTTCTAAAGATATGCCACCTTTAAACATTTTGTAATTTGATTGTTGAATTTTGTGTGGCTTAAGTGCAAAGTGATGTTTACTAATAAAGGTAAAGAGACAAAAAGGTTGTCCAGTCATCTCACAAAGAAAACTGAATATTGATCTGATGAACTGAGAATGGCTACACTTAACCCAGTATTACAATTGTACAGACTGTGATTTCGCTTGAATTTTATGAGCCATTAAGTGTGAAGAAAGAGATACTTAATACAGTTAAAACATAAAACATTGTGTAGGTCATCTTGTAAAGAAACTAAAAATTGACAGAATGAATAGAGAAAAAGACTGAAAAATATATGGCAACATTTAACTCTAATGGGAATTCTAAAAATACGTTGCGCTTAAAAATTTAACATTTACTTTTAAATACCAGACAAGAAGGTTTGTCAAGGTTTTTTATGCCCTTGCTGAGAACACAATTTACTAGACTCAGGGTTGCCACTCAAACAGGAGAATGAAATTTCCCGACTTTTCCAGGTGTGTTTCAAGAAAATTCCAGTCTATCAGCATAATGTATTTTGGCTGTGCTAAGAGGTAAATTAATTATGGCATTATAGTATTACTTGTATTGTGTAGCAAATTCACTTAATTATTCAATAAATCCCAAGGACATTTATTCTTAATTATTCTTGGTATACTTTGTTTGATAATTTTGTTTACTTTTCCACTTAAGAAACTTGATAAAATTTAAGATATATACATTGGATAACAAATGTATGTTTTATTTAATTATTACTCATGATCATCACCAGTTTAACACGAGGCTAATCCGATCCTTATAAATCATAACGCAATGCTAAATAGTTAGGTTAGATTTTAGGTAAATTTAATTTGTGTGAGGCATCTTCTTAAAAGGCACCTTAACACTTGAAAATACAAATATAATTATAATAGGAGTTGTTTTCTCCACTGAAGATTGAGATTAGAATCTTCCCAATCTGGAATAAAGGCATTTTTGCAGACATTCTGCAGCTAAACGAAAGAAAGAAATCTATTTAATGATATTTTAATAAATTGAGGTATTTTATATTTATTTTGCAGCATACATAAGAAAAAATATGTGCATTAAATTTCGTGATGGTATGTCATAATACTGCTAGAATTAATTTCAAGATTATGCCAGAGAAAATTTCCTGAAATTTGGAAAGATTATTTACTAATAATAAATAAATTTAGGGGAAAGAAGCAACATTAAATTATATGAATAACATAAAAAAGATAATTACTTAAAAATTGAATTAGAATAATCAACGATATTTTAGCGAATATACTTATATTACATGGTTAGCCTAGGATGACAGATTACTATTTTTTTATTTTACTGCAAAATGAAATAAGGTATTTATTAAAAAGAAAAAAAAGTGTTTAAAAGATTTTGCGTGGTAAAATTCTAGTATACGGTAAGGCCTTGGCACGATTTTGAAAATTGTCGCCAAGACCAAAATGATCCGTTTACTGCTCATCATGTCGCCAAATCCCGTTGTACCATAATGGAGATTATTCTAATCAAAGAACGTCTATGTAAAGAAGAAAAGGTTCCATACACGTAAAATGCTTTTACGCGACTAAAATGCGGAGAGAAAATTTGCCAAGGGATTTGGCGAAGGAACCTGGTGGCCAGAATTTCCGTCTCCGTGATGTGTACAGGAAATTGAGAAACACGTGTTAAGAAAAACGTTCTTTGACAAAAAAGAAAACTATGAAAATCTGTTTTTAAATTATTGCGAAAAATCTAAGAAGAAACGTTTTACCAAAGAACGTTTGGATTTTTTGCAATAATTTTAAAAACGGATTTTTGTAGTTTTTTTCCCTCAAAATAACTAATCCATGAATTAATTCACTTGCGCCAAAAAATATTTTCTTTTCCTTTAGAGTTTAATCACTTGTGCTACGACTAAACTTAATGGTTGCGGTGCCATGCGCTACAACATAAAACGCGGTAAAGTGTCTCATTTACGCTGCTCCCCGTCTGCGAGTGCAATCCAGAGCTGTAACTCGAGAAATAAACAATCTCATTGTTAGGCAACGTGTGCACCACGTTATTTTCATTTTTGCGATAAATGCCTATTGACGTGGTGTTCACGTCGCCTGAGGTTTGAGACAAAAGCATCTTGACGTTCCTGGCACGTCTTTTTAGCGCAAGTAGTTAAAGAAATTTTAAACGATATTCGTTTTATGAACTCTTGATAATGTGACCTTCGAACTTCGACACAGGTTTCGAGCTTTGGCGACAGATATATCGCGCATACACAGCTGTTTCCCTCTATGATGGAACGGAGCCACGTCTGTTGCAGAGAGGTTTTCCTTCTTTACAATACATATTCTTTGATTCTAACCTCCATGGTACCGTATGCTAATATTAAACCCATTTTGTTTTATACGAGAACTGGTACTTTCTTTAGTTCATGCACTGCACATGCGATTCTCTCGATTCTCGAGGTTAATGGAAATAAAAAAAAAGCGGGAAACTTGCTTTGCCTTTCTGAAAGACAATCAAATTGGAGCTGCGAAAATTGGCTCTATGTCAGCTGCCCGAATGACACTCACGTGATACACAATTCGCCAAAAAAGTTATCTCTTCCGACGTCGGCGCAAAACTCGCTTTTTTTGGCGGGATCGTTGTATGAAGTTCCCTGACTTTTCGAGATTTTGACTAATACTTAAATTCCCTGACTTTTCCCTGAATTTTTGAATTTCCTGACTTTTTCCAGTTCTTCCGGTTTCAGATAGCGTGGCAACCATGTAGACTGTTTTTGGACTTCTTTCCGCGAGCACTTATTTATTTTTTGTCCTTTCAGCATCAATATTAAGCATCACTTTCTTTGCTCTTATGCCATATAAAATACAACAGAAAAGTCACAAGATTTTTAACAGCAGCATATGTTTAGAATTCTTGATACACTTTTTGTACAATACACAACAGTCAGTGCTAGTATAATGTTGCCATTAACTTTTTATCCAACTTTTTTGTCTTTTTAACTTTACTTATTAACTTAACTTATTAATTACTTTCTCTGTGCTTTTAAAACAAAATTCCACGGCAAAATTACAAAATACTTAAAAAAAAAAAAAAAAAAAAAAAAAAAATCTTTAGTCTCAGTACAATGTTGCCATGCATTTTCTTATATGCATTATGCTATTTCTTAAAAAGCAAAACATGGCAATAATATTTGGTAGTACTTTTATTTGAAAAGTGATTTAAGCACAAAAGTGAGATTGAGATGGTAAAAGTGAGAATGGCACCTTTGGTGCTAATAAATTTTAGAACAAATTGCACATACAAAACAAAACTTAGCACACCTTCAGCACATTTTAAACATTACTAGACTAGACATTTTTAAAAAGTATCCAACTTCACACAAAACTAAAGGGGTAACTACTTTTGGGACATGTTACTTGAATGTTACTAAGAATGGTAGTCTGTTTACATTTTTCTGAAAGCTCTGCACGTTTTCACACAAATATTCACTTTAATTTACTCTACAACATAGTGTTTGGGTGAAACAGGCATGTCTTAGCTTCTAATACTTCTTTTGTGAGAATAAAAAACTAAGAGGTAAAGGAAGCATGCATTTCAGAACTACCTTCAATGCCACGATCCAAGCCTCTAATGACGTGTTTTTCGCCCATCCTGAAGCTGAATGGTTTTCCCCCACTCCTATCGTCAAAAATCTTGCCACTTTCCAGTTTTCCCACGAAATTCACATGGACCTGGGAAAAATAATTATTAAAATAAGTGTCTGACAAACTTAGTGTACACACAAGCACAGAAACTTTTTAAAACTATAATTAAAATAAAATCTTTTTTTTTATTATTTTGTATGAAATATATACAAATATTTTTCTTCCCAATCCAATTCATGATTACAGATCTCTGCCCCTCAGACTACCAGTTTGATCAACCCTCAAAATCAAACAAAATTATTTTTTTTTATAATTATCATCTGTTTTAGTCTCCTCAAAAATTAATTGATGATTATCAATAGGATCAATTCCCCTCAAAATTATCAATCAAAATGGCAATTTTTTTTTACAATTAACAATCTAATCAATAGGTTCTAAAGATTATCAGTTATATCACTTCCCACACTTCAGCCAAAATTATAAAAAATTACCAATCAAATTAATTCACCCCAAAAATTATTAACCCCCTAAATCAAAAGTGAGTCAAAACTGACAAAAATTTTTTTGAATCAATTGTATTAATTACCCCAAATATCAATTGATAATTAACAGTCAGATCAATCCCCTCTCCAAAATCAGGAATCATAATGATGTGGAAATTTTTCAAATGGATCATCTCCCTACAAATCAATCAAAATGATCAAAAATGATTTTTGGATACTTATCAATAGCATTAACCTTCCTCAGAAATTATCAAATAAATCAATTCAATATCCCAAAAAACTTTTAAATTAAAATGAAAATTATTTTTCGATAACAATTTGATAAAAACACCCAAAAATTATCAGTTGGATTACCCCTTCCCCTGAATCAGTCAAAATTACCAAAAATTATTTTTCAATAATTATCAATTGTATTAACCTTTCCCAAAATCATCAATAAAAATGACAAAAATTGTTTCATAAATTAACAATGATCAAAACATACAAAAAATTATCAACTGATCACTCCTCCCAAAAATGATCAAAATTATTTTTTGGATAATTATAAATAGTATTAAATGGATTAATAGCCACCAAAAATGATCAAAATGATAAAAACACTTTGATAAGGAACTACTAGATCAATCTTCCTGCCCCAAAATTATGAATTGTTTTTATTCAAAGAAGACAACATGAATCAATAGTGCTCCAGAAAATTGTATGGCAAGAGTGGTTCTTCTGGCAACATAGAAGCACTCAAAATATGTCACACCAGAAGTCCTCTCAAGAAGCTAGTGATTACATCCAGGGTGGACCTTAGGTAGACATAAATTGCTTGCTTTGCCTAAATTAGACAATCTATTTGAGTATCTACTTAAATTCATGAATATAATCATGGAGCATAAAGCCAAGTAGTTATTAATATCCTAATTGAAATTTTTAACAAGCTTATTGCAACATGGTTAGCAATCAATTGTGAACATAAGGCCTTTTTTAAATTTTTGGATTATAAATGCATTAGATGGATGACAACATTATAGCTGGAACACGAATAATAATACATCACAGAGCAAAAATTTCTTATTTTGATAGTCCATGGTTATTGACAGATACTTCCATTACATAAACAACAACTGCTTCAAATGCTAAAAATGAAACTGCAGCACCTTTTCTTTTGTGCACTTTCCTACCTCAATTCAAGGTTTTCATATAAAAAAAAATTTAATAACCTAAAAATCAGTACGAATTATTTATAAAACAGAACACTTCTTTTCCAAAACAATGTATTTAAATACTCACATATTTTCCACGTCTTGCCATTGGCCCACTTCCAATCTTTACATCTTCGTACTCAATTCCGCAAGATAATTGTTTACTGTATGCGCCGCTAGACAACAACTTTTCTTTAACAAAATCCTGAATTTTCTTTCTCTTTTTTTTTTTAAAAAAAGCAAAATATTTTTAGTTTAACCAGTTAATATCACAAATTTAAAATAATTCATTTATAATAAAAACAGATATGAGTATTTAAATATAAGCAAAGAGTAAAAATCAGAAAGTAAACCAAACGGACAAAAAGCCTAATTTTGCAAATTTGTACATACCTAAATACTTTAAGATTTATTTTTAATACATGGGGACTGAGAAAATAAAAAATTCACAAACACAGTTATCAGAAATCCAAAATGACTGTAAAATTGCCCCTCTCCCAACATTAGATAGCTAAATATTTTATACAAATATAAAAAAGAGGTTATAAGGTATTTCTCCTGACTTCCTAGCAGTGCCTTTGTGGTGTAGTGGTCTGCACACTGAGCTGGAATTTCAGAGGTCCGTGGTAAGATTCCTGGCAAAGGCCTTGCTAATTTTTCATCTTGCCTGCTTCCAAAAATCCTAATGTCTCTACAGTGGCACTCAAACTAAAAGGGTGATGGATGATGACTCTCCACACCCAGGATTTGGCGATTGGGTACCCTAGAAACGCCAGACGCCCTTTAAAAGGGGGAGTATATGAGGTATTTCTCCTGCCTTCCTAGTGTGCCTTTGTGGTGTAGCGGTCAGCAAACTGAGCTGGTAATTCAAAGAAAGGTCTGTGGTTCAATTCCCGGCGAAGGCGATTACTAATTTTTCATCTCTCTCACTTTAAAAAAATCCTAATGTCGCTGCTACAAGGTCATAAATAATTCAAATTACTGCAACTTTGTAAGAGTAAAAAATTTTGAAAATTTGACAAACTGACACGAATCTAAATATTTTGAAGCGATTATGTGGGGGAAAATGTCATAAAAATTCATATTGCTGCCAACTTTGCAAGAGTACAAATACGAGTAAAAAGTCGGAAAAAAGCATAATTTTTTCAAGAAATCTGACAAACTGATATCTATCTAAATATTTTGAAACAATTATACAGGATAAAAAAAATTCAAAATTACTGCCAACTTTGTAACAGAAAAAAAAAAGGAGCCCAGGGTGGCCAGGCAGTAATCCATATCAATAATAATAAGGAAGGAATCCAGAAAAAACCAAATTTTGAAAATAAATAATAAAAAATTGACACATATTTAAAGATTTTAAAACAATTACATAGGACAAAGAATTTAAAATTACTGTTGAAAAGAAAATTATAAAGCACTTGTACTAGTTGACTATTGCTCATTATAAAAATAATAAATAAAAAATTATTAAAAAGATACATTTAGTTTTAGATTAGTTTTTAAAATTAAAAATGTTATCATATGTCAAAAAGAAGGATGCAAAGTGTTTCGCTAAAAAAAAAAAAAAAAAAAAAAAAAAAAGCGAATGAATTGAATTTAGACAGGTTGAAAATTACATAATGAGTACCTTAATTGAAGAAAACCATAAAAAATATTTCCCTGGGGGAAAAAAAAAAAAAAAAAAAAAAAAACATGTTTAAATATTATGATGAATAAGAAGGCTTGCCAGTAGATGAAATGGAATAAATTCAGTGACATATCACAATATTCGGCATTACAATTTAACCAAGTTTCTCACAGCTATAAACATTTTAATGCCATTTGGAACAAAGAATTTTAAGTGAAAAATCTTTCTTGACGTATGTGGCAACAAAAATAAAACACAGAAACAAATTCAATGCACAATATAAAATTGTAAATAATATCAACAGAGCTACTTTTCGACAATTTGTGCAAAAAATCCAAGCACAGCCCTGTCACAAAATAGAATGCAAAGGTAGGTGACACCTGGAGCACGAGTTAATGCTGTTAACGAGTAATTTACTTTAAATTTACGTTAAAGTTTTTAAATAAAAAATACAATACTTTTTTTAATGATGTTTGCATAAAGTACCTATACCATATTACTTTACTTTAAATATTATTTTAAGATATACTTTCTAAAAGTGGAATGCAGTGTCCTGGGAAAACCTTACAATTCTAAGGGTCTAGCGACTTTGACAAAGTTTGAAAACCAAAACCACTGAAATATGATAACCAACTAAACCGTATACTACATGAATGCCAAAACTTGAAAAAAGTGAATCAAACAGACAAAGTTGTGGGAAAGGGAAAAATACATGTCATTCATTACATTAATGGAAAAGCATTTACAATTTCAATCTGTCATCCTACCTTTTCCTTTATGTTTACCTTATTGAGTAGGGGTGAAGAATTAGGCTTTATGGACGACGTGAATTTTTTTTTAGGCATTGGTGTGTGGCCAATAGAGGAATTCATTTCTTCTGAAAGGAAAACAAAACACAACATAGAAATTATGCATCTTGATGGTTAAATAATATTAATAAAAACAGTTTTGATAAAACTTGTGTCTTGTACAGGAAAAGATAGCTTCTGAATTCACAACAGACGCTGGATTTTTTAACAGAAAGCCATATCACAGCATAATCAAAAATTTTGGTTACCTAAGCCTCAGGCCTCCTGCACCTTATAAACAATAAACACACAGTACAAAGTCTGATATCCAGAATCTGCATCATCAGCAATTTTTTTAAATAAAATTAAGGAATGAAAAATGTTATACTACAGAAAAAGCAAGCGTGTCATAAAAGCAATTTTTTTCTAGACTACCCAAGATTCCTGTGCCATTTTCAAACACATGCTGTCTATGAAATTGTACTGTTGTCAATTCCAATAGCACATTTATTGAATGTTTGCCACTTTCTGCCATTGAATGGTTGTAGAAGCAGCAGAGGGAGGGGGTTGTATTTTAATGACAATAATTGAAGCCACCAAGACGTTCGTTTGGAGTGGGATGTTGGCTAACACAGGCAGTCCTCGACTTTCACACATTGTATTTTTGAAAAATTTGCTATTTTGCACATATTTAAAAAACTGTTCATTGGCAATAAATGTTACTAAGTGTATTAAAAATGCACAGTTATTTAAAATGTAAGGGCACAAACGTTTTCCTTAAGCCTCGAGAAAATAGAAAGACAAGCTATTGAGCTGGTTACTGCATTGATATTTAAAGCATGGATGTCTATACTATGACAGTTTGAGGGCCACCACAATGCAAAGGGGGAAAAAAATTGCAGGGCTGCAATGCAAATAAAAAAAAATTGCAGAGCCGCATTGCAAAGAAAAAAAAATTGTGGGGGCCACACATACAATATTTTTTAACAAATAAAAATTAAAATTAGCTCTATGAGGTTTTATTAAAATAAATTAACTTTTTTTTTTGTTATTTTTTTTTGTTATTTTTTTTTAAATTTGAATTAGATATGTATAGGTACATATTTATTATTAATTTGTAAAAGTTTCATTTAATTTAGTTTGGATTTCATAAAAATGGAAAAATTAAAATTAATGAGATGGATGAATTTGCTTTTGTTGAACAAGCAAATCGATATCAGGTTCAATAGACGAGGTTGCAATTCTCGGTCAGGGATCTTTGTCCTATTTTTGTTGTTTACTTCATTCTTGAAAATAATTGTTCACAAATATAGGTACTGCAAAAACTGAAGACATTAATAAAGCATGATTGTGAAAATTAGAATATTTATTGTGGGGTAGTAAGTCTTTACTGGAGTTTGTAAAACTCCAGTAAAGAAACATTTTTAAATTTTTCTTTCAGTTGAATGTCACTTTGCAGTTATCATGACATACTAAATTGTTTTTTAAATAAATGCCAATGAATCGATTATTATATATAATAATATATATATATAAATTTAAAATATAAATAAACATTTATATTTTAAAATAAAAATGTGTAAATTTAAATACTTTCATAATTAGCGTTTGGGCCGCATGCAACCCGTGGCCCACACTTTAGATACCCATGATTTAAAGGTTAGAACAATTTTCCTTTCGTACTGGCAGTTAAGCAATACTGTAAAAATAAACACTTCTAAGTATTGCTAATATCAGACAACCAAAATTTTAGCAGACTTTATATATTGAAATCAATGTTGTGTTTCCTTCTCCAAAACAACCAGCTGAGGACAACAATGAATCAGGTCAGCAAGGCAAATGGCAAGGAAGATGGGCTTACAATAAGAGATATTTGGAAGACTGTTGTCTTGTCCATATTACATGGAACAATGGTTGCCAGAGCCTACTCCGAAGAGAAGTTGGACTTATTTTCCACCCCCAATTTTGAAGGAGAGCACCCAGGAGAGCTTTTCAACATTCGCACAGATTTACAGGCACCAATTATGTGCAAAAGTTAAGGGCCACCCATACTGGTTTTCTACTTGGCCTAACAGAGCGTAGAAAGAAGGAATTTTTTCAGAAAAAGTTAATTTAACATACATTTTCAGGTGGTTATTAATTACAGCTATGTAGACAAAATTTAAATTTGTAATTATATAAAAAAGATGTCCTAATTTTGGAGCCGTAACAGAATTGGCAATGCGAAAGCACATTGCTATTTATCTTCTACACTAAACTAAGAGGGAGAAAATGAGCATCAGCAATTTCAGAAAACTTAGAGCATCAGCACAATTTGGGACTAAGAAAGCAGAATTTCAAAATTAGGCACACATTTTGAATGATACTGGCAAAATTTTCTAATTAATGAAATTTGAGAGGAAATGTTAACATGATAATAAATGAAGATGATAAAACAGAAGCTTTCCATTGCAATACTGATAGTGAAAGATTTTTGAAAATGAAAAGATTGTGAAATGTTTAATTATACACTAAATAAATATTGACCCTTTTTCTGTACATTAAAATTTTTTTAAAGTAACAAATGCTTCATTGTTTTATTATGGTTATACATGGTTATACATGTTTACATATACATTGTTTTATTATGGTTATACATGGTTATTATGGTTATACATGGCTTCATTATGGTTTATACATGTCATCAACCTAGGTTTAAGCTAAATAGATTTAACTAATAACTAGATAAACTTCCAAGACAGCTGAAGTCCCGACGATTCCGGATCTCCGACTCTGCATTATATTTCTGCCTTTTGATGGTTCTTAAAATGAAATACCACATCTCGTAATGTATTTTACATTTCTGTGCAAAAGGTGGCAGCACTTTTATGCAAGTTGGGCACTTCTTACAAAGACAAACTTTCACAATGTTGCCCTCTCAATAAAAATGCTTCCACCATTATTAAAATCAGTTACTAAATTGTAAAATACAAACATTATTAAAGTTATTGCAGTTCAAAATCTTAATTATTAAAGAAATGGATCTAAATTTTTCCTCGGTACAAGACAATTATCACAAATAATCTAATTTTTCTCATGAAGTATTAATAGCTGAAAGCTATAGTAAGATATCAAGAAGTTTTTAAATATTTAAATATGAATATATGCATTTTCCCTGTAAGCATCAAGAAAAATTTAACAAATTAAAGAAAGAGAACACGTAATTATAATTTATTCTTAACGTCTGTCTCACTTGAGAAATTTTTGTAATTTGCTTACTTTAAGTGTAGAGTAAGTTATGAAGTTATTAATTCAACATGTTAGAATTATTTGAAATACATATATGGGTAAAAATTTAATATTTAGCTGTCAATGTTTGAATTACTAAGTGTAACCAACAGAGATTTCAGACAGAAAATATAAATTTGAATTTTAATTTCAGTTGTTATTATTATTAATTTCGGAGGTTTTGACTAAAAAAAAATAAATTTAGTTAAATATTATGCTTTGTTTAAAAAAAAAATCTGCCCAGCCAGCTTTCAGATCATGCACAGACCATTGCTGAAACATCATCATTAGTTTTCTCACAAGGATAACTGGAAATTATCAAACTCAGCAACTGAGTGACAGGGGTGATTATGACAGCATTTCAAAAATCCAGAAAACTGCCATGGAAGAAAAATCCCACATAGTTACAAATAATTTAGAATACTAATATGAAATGCATCCACACATTTTTCAAACAATTTTATATAAAAATAAAGTATAAAACTTTATCAAACGTAATACATGAGCTGGGAGACCACATTCAAAGACAAATTTTATTACTTGTACAAAAAGAATACTAATAAAAAACTCTTAAAATTGACAGGTTGTGAATATTTTTTTGCGATTTAAAACGCTTCTGTTCTTCGAAAGTACACAGCTACAACTGACGATCACTAAAATAAATGCCGGCTAAGGGAAGTGTGTATATATATGTATTTCAATCACAAAATTACAACAGTTATCATTTTGAAGTTATGCGAGACAGATAAATGTACACATGCTTTTAAAAAAATTAATTTTAATCCATTTTACATTCTTGGGGAAGAAGAAAAGTTGTTATACATACATTTTGAACGAACGATCCTTTATTTTATCCATACGTACATATGTCACGCCCCCCCCCAAAAAAAAGAAGTCAAAATGGATCTGGGAATGGTCAAAATTAACAGTTCTATAAAAATTCGGAAACCATTTTTGTGATCATCTTTTATCTCGCTCGAGGAATTAAAAAGTTTAGGGCACTTTTTGGGGAAGCACAGAGGAGGTTGTTTCTAAGAACCGGTTGATTTTTAAATTTTTATTTGTTAAAGTTTGATATGAACAATAAGACGCTGGCCTTTCACTTAACACTGTAAATGTCATATTAGAACTTGAGATATCCACACTAACAGGTAGAGGATATGAGAAACTGCTAAAGGGAAGGAAAAGATTCATGGAATATAGAGATTTATGGTAAATTACTCAATTATTCAACAAAATAGCCCTAATAACTTTGATCTTCAGAAGAATTTGTTGAGGTAAAAATTGTATAAGTATTTTGTAACATATTGAGAAGAAATATACTTCAAAGTCTGCGTAGCATTTAGTCTATTGGTGTTCGGGGATGTTTTATATTCAATAACAAAACAAGCCATATAAATGAAAGAACTTTCAACAAAAGGTCCACATCAGCAAGTTTAAAGAGGTTTAATCAGTTTTATTAATGTCGCAGGGCTGACAACCCTAAACTCTTAAAAAAAGAAGGGGAGAAATCATTAAGACTGCACTGCATGGCAACGCCATTTCAATGCAACACCAAATTGACTTTGATTCATTTTACGATGCATGGTTCAAGTTACTGAACTATCTGTAATTCAGTTTGGATATGAAATAAATTTAATTTACCTGGATATTATGCATTTTATGTTCTTTTGCAATTTAGTCAACTGTATCTTTATACAGTTTACATACTAAATAATTAAAATTTTTATATCTGAATGATATATTTGTTCTAAAATTAAATTTGAGATAAATAATGAGTCTATATTTTATGAATCTGGAGATTCTGGATTTGAAAAACGCAAAAAAATCTTGAATTCCAGCTATATCTGGACCGCAAATACCTCCAGAAGGACTTAGCAATTTTCTTACACTTTTATACCAAAAAATTCCTGAGTAGGGAAGAAAAGCTTAAAATTTAACAAAGTACTTTTATACGATGAAAAAATTAATAGTTATTGCACATTATATTGTTGCGTATTTTTTTCTCACTCCAGTTGTTACGTTATTTTCTTCCTTCACGTTCGTACGGGGTTCGTGTGGATTTGGAGTGAATAACGACGACACTTGATGATAAAGTATCGAAACACACTTTATTTACCAACATCAATCCGGACAGCTCCAAAACACTTTTACAGTCATCAAAGATCTACTATAAATATGCTCGAACATTCAGCGACACAGCCTTCAAGCTATCACGGTGGAAACAGCTTCACGGCAAAGCACTAGAGTACATCTCCCGACTCTTGGTCGTTCTCTAAACTCCACGTACTCTCGAGACTCTCCATACTACAACTCGTGATGCACTCGACGACACACAGAGCACAGCTCCCGACTCTTCGGTTCAGTTGTTCCCAGAGCTCAACACGCTCTTTCGACGATGCACTAACTGCGATACACTATGAGACTCTTTCGATACACTCAAAGACCCACTCGCTGAACGGCTGTCAACTCAATCGACTCTGCAGGGATTGACTCACTAGATGAGATACCAACTCGATACTACCTATCTCGCATTCGACAAGGCACTGACTGCGGACCAGCAGGGTTTATATAGCTTTCGGCTTGTGTTCGAGAACATTCTGCGCTAAACTGGCAAGAATTCGTTTCAAAAGATTCTCCATCCGTCCATGGCATATCGCCAATTTTGTCGCCAAATGGAAGATTTTTCGCCAAATGAGGCAACTTTGCATTTTTTATTATTTTATAGCAACCCTAAACTTGCTTTGCAGAGAAGCTACCTTACCGCATCTAGACATTTTGTAACACTGCCCCCTTCCAAGGACTGCACGACTCGGACAGTACAACCCTTGCCAGAAGCCAAATTCGATACAAACAAATAACATAACGAAAGAAGCAAGCATTTACACTATGTACAAGGTATATTCACAAATTAAACACATAACAATATCAAATTATACAAATTAAAGTTCTGAATGAATTTCAGTCTCAGTTTTTTCATTATTTATACCCGGGTCAAATACGTTTCCACTGCAGTTCTCAGATGCATTTCTGTCTTGCATATCACAGTCTGAAAGCTAAGTCCTTTTAGACTTTTCGTCCACAGAGAGGTCTAAAACAGTTCGTTCACCACTCTGTAGTTCATTTGCAGCATGCATACAGTTCACCTTGGTATTTTTAGCAGCTGGTACATACTCATTTTTCTCCATTTCCTGAAAACCAGTTCCGATGTCTGCACTAGATCTTCACAAACACGAGTATCCAGGTTTAGAATCAAGTCCTTATCTGCATAACCTGCACTATGAGGTGCATACATAGTTTGCAAAGTGGGTGAATATTCTTGCAATACTGGAGTGCACTGCTTAAGCTGCACGTCAGCTTCTCCCATCTCTGCAACATTTGCACTTTCAGATGGTTCAACTCTTACTGGCTGTAACTTCACTATTAGTGTTGATGAACTTAACAGTCGCATTTTCACTTTCTTCCACTTCAGGCACTTGAGAATCACAAGCTTCTTTCCTGTCTTCATGTTTTCGTTTTTCCCCTTTAATCCCGTTAGGTGTTTCAACTATCTTTTCTTGATCTTTCTCAGGCAATTCATTAGCTACTTCTTTCATTTCTTCATAATTTGATTCTTCAGACGCCACTTCTGTCATTTCCACATCTTCTTTTATGGCTCCATATTCTTTTGCAAGCTCCACTTTCATCTGTTGGAGTTGCTCTCACACCTTTCCTTGGCCGACATTTATTTCTTCTCGGGACTTTCTTCTCTTCGAGTCCGGCTTTGATCTCAGCTGTCATCTCTTTATATCCAGTTTTTATCTCAGCAAGTCCAGCTTTCATCTCTTATTGCCAGGCTTTGATCTCGGCTAAGAAGTCCATCAAAGTCTTCGTTTTTAGGCCATGGCATTCCTCTGCAGGCGGGTCACTGGCATTCACTGGCAAATCTCACTTCTGACACCAATTGTTGCATTTTTTCCCCCTCACACCAAACGTTATGTTATTTTCTTCCTTCACATTCGTACAGGGTTCGTGTGGATATAGAGTGAATAACGACGACACTTGATGATGAAGTATCGAAACACACTTTATTTAACAATATCAATCAGGACAGCTCCAAAATACTTTTACAGTCATCGAAGATCTACTATAAACATGCTGGAATATTCACCACAGCGACACAGCCTTCAGGCTATCATGGTGGAGACAGCTTCACGGCAAAGCACTAGAGTACAGCTCCCAACTCTGCTTGGCCATTCTCTGAATTCCACGTACTCTCGAGACTCTCCACACTACAACTTGTGATGCACTTGACGACACAGAGCACAGCTCGCCACTCTTTGGTTCAGTCGTTTCCGAAGGTCAACACGCTCTTTCGAAGATGCACTAACCGCAATACACTACGAGACTCTTTCGGTGCACTTGACGACCCACTCGGCACTCGCTGACCGGCTGTCAACTCGATCGACTCCGCAGGGATTGACTCGCTAGACGAGACACCAACTGAATATTAACTATCTCGCACTCGACGATGCACCCTCTAACTGACTGCGGACCAGCAGGGTTTATATAGCTTATGGCTTGTGTTCGAGAACATTCTGCGCTAAACTGGTAAGAATTCGTTTCAAAAGGTTCTCCATTTGTCCATGGCACATTGCCAAATGGATGATTTTTCGCCAAATGTGGCAGCCATGCCTTTTTTTTGCTATTTTATGGCAACCCTAAACTTGCCCGCACCTAGACATTTTGTAACAATATTATATGGATAAGTTTAATTGTATAAGAATTGGAGGCTCCTTCAGCCCACCTGGAAACAAGTTTCCCTATAACTCAAAAGAAGGAGTATCATTTATTGAAATAAACAAAATTAAATACAAATATTAACTGAAATAAATACTGCTCAAATCTTCATATAAAAATCTACACCTGTCTGCAGTAGATTATGACAACTCAAGTCATAATGAAATTTAACAAGATCAATAAAATATAATAAAAAATACAATTCTGAAAAAATAAAATTTAACAAGAAAAATTATTCTGTAGCTCATTAGAGATAAGGGGAATGGAATTTCTCTAATTTAAGTTTCAATAATTCAACAAATTCCATTTATTCCTGGGAAACACTTTGCTTGATAAAGGTAAAAAATAAAAAACTCCTAGTAAAACTGAGAATTTGGTTTTTGATTATGGCAAAGCACTCGAGAGCTATCTGCCTAAGAAAAGGGAGGACTTTATAAGGAAAACTGGCTCATATACATGTTATAAATAGGAAAAACCATGAAAACACCCATCCAGCCAACCCATTTGCTAGGATTTGAAATCCAGACTGAACTACTAGTTTTCAATGACTTTATTACTCGGCTACTGGTGGGCATAAAACTGATAATGAGCAGATATGATATTGGGTATTTCTTTTTTCTACTTTCTTTCAGCTTGAATATTTCTACCAAAACTTTGCAATATCAACTTTTTTCTTTATGTACCATACAAATAGCAAAATTAACTTTTCTGCACAAGCCAAATTTCTTATGTGAAACAGTGTGCTTGTACAAGACGTACTATATACAGTTTATATACTACAAATTCAAACCTTTATATCTGAATAATATATTTGTTCTACATTTGAGATAGACAATGAGTCTTTATTTTATAAATCTGGAAATTCTGGATTTGAAAATGCAAAATATTTGAATTCTAACTATATCTGGACCACAAACACTTCCAGAATGACTTCTTCTGGAAACAGTTATTACATACAGCAAAGTCTGCTTTTTATCATCCAACTTCAGAACCAAATTTACCCTAGATAAACCAATTTCAGTCCTCACCTGAATCTGATAATTCTTCAAAATTCACAACATCACTGTCTAGTTCTACAATTTCGGCCGTCTGTCCCTGCTCAGACTTTTTCTTCTTCTTCTTCCTTTCCTGTGAGCCAGGTAACGGCATCTTCCGCTTTGAGGGCCCAGGAGTCGTATTCTGAGCTGAGTGAGGAAATATAAAAGCTTAAATTTAAATTGAATTCATAAATTATGTAAACATAGAACAGCTACAAACTTTGAAATGTAAAAAAGCCAAAGAAAGCCAGACTGAATTGACTTTATAATTCGTGCTACAGATCTAATGCTAATCATGTCATATATGACTTACTGGTATTAGTAAGTAGTTTATTTTTTACCTGATGCCACTCAAACTAACTGTAGCTTTAATAATTTCTCTTTCCTGTCATTTTATCACATGTTTGAATCTGAAAGATATGGAATTTTGTATTTAATGAAGTAATTATTACTGAATTTCCATGTTTGATAATTTCTTCCTAATAAGCTTACTTTTCGGTGGTTTCATATCAATTTTATTCTGGCAACATTTTATTCTTGATATTTCTTATTATAGTGCTCCCCAACCTTATTTGGCGAACTCATTACATCACGTTTGTAGCTATACCTAGCTCATGACAGGTGAATGTAAATATAAAGGACACAATATATAATAATAGTACACACATGCTGTTTCCTAAAAATACTTTTAATAATCGCTACCACAAGGTCATATTTCTAAAAGTGCTTTTAACAATTCATAAAAAAAAAAAAAAAAAAAACCAGCATCTTTTCCTACATACTTTATCTACGTAAATTTCAAAAGACCCACTTGGCTAAACCCACAGTCTATCCACATTTTGTGTGTGGAGCTGTGGAGGAGGAGTCATGGAGTTGGATTCAAAGTTCGGCAGATTTTTGGGTTAAAGGAGTCGGAGCTGGAGTCGCTGAAAACAGGACTACTCCGACTCCAGTTTTTGTTGGACAGTCTGAATTTGAAATGAAATTAAAGAGAACTGAAAAAAATTAATGACAAACTGAGTTATTATTTTTATTTATGAACTATATCATACCTGCCAACCTCTAAAGATAAAAATTCAGAAGATTTCTCCAAAATTCAGAAGAACACGAAGAATTAATATCATGCTTTGATATTAAAAAAATAACAATTTATACAAATAGAAAAAAGAAAATTGTACTTATATTAGTAAATCTCAATTAAGTAGTAACTAAAAAATTTATTAGGAAACATAAAACAAGAACTTAATGTTACACAAAAGTTATTGCAATGAATTTAGAGTGCATTTTTTGGCCTTAGCCAAAAATTCTTTGGAAAATTTCCGGTCATAACAATTAGTTTCCTCATAACATTTAGCAATTAAAATGTTTTCTAGAGTTTTTGGTGAATTTGAAGATCGAAACATAGTTTTGTTTTTCTTCACAACACTGAAGACTCTCTCGCACTCAGCATTACTGTGTGGAATTACGAGAATAGCACATAAAACTCTTGCTAGTCTATCATATTTTGGTGTTACATCAGCTCTTTTTATTCTTTTTAAGGTACCAACGAGGACATCAAGTCTATCTTCTCCAGAACTGGCAAAGTCTTCAAACTGTGCAGCAGAAAATTGGTTCTGTAGTTCATCTACAGCATTATTATGGCATTCATTTTCTTTAATTGTTAACAAAAATGGAAATTTATCAATAAAAAAACGAATCTTTTCAAAAGATGAATTTTCAATTTGTTTCAAATTTGCCACTTCAGCATTTAAAAGCTTTTTCTGCTGCCAAATTAATTAAGTGGCATGGGCATCCAATAACAGTTAATTCATTTTGTTCTTTTTTGAGGAAAGAGTCTACACCCTTTTTGTCACCCACGACATGAGCATTATCTGCACCAAATGAAATGCAGTTTGATATTGGGATGTTAAGTTGTTTCAACTCATTAATTACCAAGGAGGCAATATTTTGCCCCGTAGTGTCTCCATTTAACAATGGAAGACGCAAAAGATGAGTTTTCATTTCATCAGAAACATCACAGAAATATGTGACAACGATGGGGTAAAGCTTCCAATCGCTGTCGTTGCTGCCATCGATTGACACCGAAAATGCTGAATTCTGGAGTGCAGCTATCGTTTTACTTTGTGCATCGCAAGCAATTTCGTTCACAATAGAAGATGTTTTCGTGCGAGCACAAGCATATTTCTGAGGAATCTTGGAGTCGGGAAACATCCGACTGAAAAGTTGGGTGCTACTTTGGTAGACGGTTGCACGGATTTTGGTGATTTTTCTTTTGGTGAGTAATACAACTTACGGTAAACCCATTGCTGGATAAGTTAGTAACCGATACTTTGTTGTCATTTTATTAAAAAAATAATGTGTTTTATTATGCATAACTTCCGTGTTTTAAATATTATTTATGGCTTCTAAATATTAAAAATCAATTTAATTTTACATTTTTATTTGAATAAAAAATTTTGTTGTTTATAATATTTTATATAATTTTATGTTGTGGATGATGTAATCAATGACATCACCTTACAAAAGTAATTGGTTTTATTAATATCTATAAATTTAATCTTTTGTTTTAAACATTATTTATGGCTGTTAAATATTAAAATACAATTTAATTTTGCATTTGTTCTTGAAAAATGATTTTATTATGATAGGATTACTTAAATAATTTTAATTCTCTGCGTGATGTAATCAGCTCCCTGATTGGTTACTGAATATTTAATGCATTACGGCGCCATTTTAAACATTTATTATTCATCTCTTCGAATTCCTTCAGATTTCAAATGGAATGGATATCTCGTTTCGAAGGATGAGATGTTGTTCATTAGTAATTGCCAAGAATTATTAGTATTCGGAATAAAAAAATTGCCCTTTGAGACCTTATTTTGGCCAACCTGTCTTTCCTAATCAAAGATTTATTTATAAATTGTTACAATAGCGTCAGAGGAAAATTTATTTTAAATTTTTGGAGGAAACCTCGCTAATTGCTTCTTCAATGAAGTGCGAGAGATATGGATCCCAGATGAAGATCGTTAAAAGAGTGCGATTCTGAGGATGGCCGTATATGGATTGTGGTCTCGGTGCTAGAAATAACCACTGTAACGTTAAAAAAAAGTATTATACATTCCTCCTTTTTGACCGCAATTTTTTTTATTAATATCTAAATTATGATTTCGATTTTTTTGTGGTACTTATCAATAAACGAAGAGGATTAAAACTACTCAAAAAAAAAATGTAAGTACATATTTTTCTTTTATTTTATAATTGTATACTTCGATTTTGTTATTAAAAATTTTATATACTGTTTTCAAAAATTGCTGAGATATTTATTGTCACACATGTTTTAATGTTAAATTATATTATATATCATAAAAGCGTTATTTTGGTCTAATCCTAGTATCCGGTGCACACGGGATTTGGCTACTTTATGATAAGCAGCAAAAAAAGGACATACACTGTGATATCTGGCGACTGTTTGGCGATCAACAGAGCATGCTTGGCGCAGGTAGCTCTTCTTCGAGAAGGGTTAATGTATTTATTAGGAGTTGCATGTTAGCCTCGGAAGAGGAAGGTAGTAGATTGTACTATGCGGTAGGAGCGAAGTACTGCTCTGAGTAACTATTATATTATGCTTTGAATTATATATTTAATAAATGTTTGTTTCGTCTTGCTAAATGGTGCCTTATTAAACCAAGAAGTCATCACATACACGATTTATTTTTTGTTTTAATTTTAGAGCGGTTGTGAGTGGATTATAGAACACGATGATGTAATAATACAAAAACACTATTTCTATACATTACATTAATCAGTACAAAACGCATTTTGGTTTAATCCTAGTATCCGGTGCATACGGGATTTGGCGACTTTACGATGAGCAGTAAAAACGAAACATATACAATGAGTAGTAAACGGGTCATTCAAAGAATGTATATAGTTATACATAGTTATATAGTATGTATGTAGTGATAGTATATAGTGTATAGTATATACATAGACGTTCTTTGGGTCATTTTTGGTGTTGGCGATAATTTTCAAAATTGCGCCAAGGCTGCACCGTATACTAGGATTTTACCTGTATTTTAAAGTATTTGAATTTAATAATATTCTAATTCTTTTAAATTTTGGTAGGATGGTTTTAATTCGATATTCAATTTCAGTAATATTTTAATCTAATTAAATGTTGGCACAATGTTTTATAGCGGTTTGTTTTTATTCTCTTTTTTGCTATATGAAAGTAATAATAGCCTTACTTTAGTACTTTATACTCATAGTAAATGTATTTATTTACACTTGCCTGCCATCTTAAAAAAACGACATTTTCAACAAAAAATTAATCCATTACTTTTAACGATATTTATTTTATTTTAAGTTTCGAATACTTTACTATGCGTAAAAACAGCGTTTTTCAAGATGGCTGACGATTGTAAAAATCGCGCCAACGTAAATCGCCAAAAATCCGTGCAACCGTCTACCAAAGTAGCACAGTTGACCGGCGTGATTGGCAGCGCTTAGCGGCACGTTGTGTTCGATGAGGAATGCAGTAAACAAACACTCTGCCAAAATGACATCGGCATCCGAATTCGTAGCCGAAGCATTAACTTCATGCTTTTTAGACTTAACGTGCTTCACAATGTCGCTTTTTTCACCATGACTTATTATGAAGTCACACATGCACATGTTGCAAAATGCATAGTTATTTCCTTTGAAGGATTCTTTAATTGTTGGAAATTGTAGGCTGGCCAAAAATATTGAGAATACGGTATTTTTGAACTCATTTCGTAACAACGACGTATTAAGAAAATTCGTAGCGCGTGCAAACAAAACAAAAAACAAAAAAAAAAAAAAAAAAAAAAGAATGTGACAATCCACGCTCGCTCAGTCCGAGCTGAGTAATTCCCTTGCTGCTGAAGCGAACGCGAAAAAAAAATCTGGCGCCCACAAAAAAAAAGAGAGGAAGAAACAAGTTCAGCGCATTGGATTGGCTGGTCAAGCGGCGAGTTGTGAGAAACCGCAGGTTACTGGATTTGAAGTAGTCGGCAGCTGGCGGTAAAACACGATGCAATTGGCAAAAATCGCTGAAATGGCGAAAAATTCTAAAATTTCAACAAAAATCGCTGAAAACACTTGAAAAGGGAAAAAAATCGTAAAAT